TAAAATATGATTAAGAAAGGAATAAAGTTTGTTATAACGAAATAAACATATAGAGAATCGGTATAAACATATAAAGATAAAAACTGCACCGACTCTACATGAGTGGAATAAGAATAGGGATTGATATATAAACACGGCTAAACACTCACTTATATTCGTCCGGTGGCGGCACCACCATCGCTCAGTGACCTGAGGGCCGCGTCCGCGAAATAAGACCAGTACCACTAATCCTGATGAAGGGCCCCCGATAGGCTCGAAACTAATCGGTGCCGCCACCGGACGAATATACGTGAGTGTTTAGCCATGTTTATATATCAGTTTAGTATAATGTCTCACGAAAGTTTGAATAAGTTAAGAATAGGGATATTATAAGTACGGAACTTAATACGTAAATATAAATCCTTAAAATTATCAAAAAAAACCTAAATTATAAAGGCTTTTGGATACTCGTTTTAGCAGTGAAAACTTAAGGCAATTGAGAATGTCACTTGCTATGCTAAAATGAAAGTAGTGTATAATCAATTTTAATGAAAAGATTTTTTATCAATTTTTATTTGATCTCCCATCGCTGCGACGGACACGCTTCATAACTTAGATCTGACATTTTACCAATGTTTAATTTTCAGAAAAAGGAAATTACTTTTTTTCTGAAAAGAACTTATTATAAAAATACTATTTATTTAAGTCTTTTAGATAACATTCGCTGTAAATTGACAAAATATATCTATTACTACTTTTAGAAAAAAATGTTAAAATAATTTAAAGCGAATGTCAAGTGTCAGATTGATTAGTGTGGGGACATCAACGTTGATAATAAGGCTAGTGTTGCGCTAGTACACCGGTACAGTGTCGGTTTTCTTCCTAACACAAATCATTAAACAATTAATCCCAACTGAGCCAGTGTGGCTGACTAACGCCTAGTCCCTTAACGTTGGGTAGGCTTGTGGCCATCGGTAAGGTCATGTGCTAGGGCAATGAGCTAATGATAATTATTAATATATTATTTTAAATGAAAAAAGAAGTCCATGAACACGATCCTATCCGATTCGTGTTTGGTCAAGGGTTTATTTGTTGCAACATTGAGTTTTAGATTGATTACTATAGTGATTTGTGGTTTTAGTTTGGGATATACCTGCGTATTCATTTTGTATAGCAAAGGTAAAGGTAACCTTTTGTGAAATGAACGTAACGGTATCCATTGGAATTGCAATTATACGAGAGAGGCTTTGTAACGAAACTCGTGGCGTTCCGACTGTCGACTGTCGACTAGCGCCCTATACGTTTTGTCCCAGATGTTAAATATTCGGACAAGCTTAAACCAAAATCCTCAAAGGAATAATTCGGGAATTTTCTCATACATTCAAATGTAACATCAATTTTAACATTATTAAATTATTTAGAAACGGGATAGAATAAAGCTTGTTGTAAAAATCTACAAATTACTACGTACGTATTTTAAGAAAAAAATAAGTTTGACATAATTTTATGCACGTAAGGAGATAGATTGCAGTTTGCAAACAAAATAAACCAACTTTAAAACGATTAAGCTGTCCATTGTCGTCATAAATGTACGTCTAGGAAGCCATTTCTCTTAAGTTGCTAAAAATCTTTATAAAAGAGTATTTAAAGTTCAGTATTGCTATACGATAGCGCGAGTTGACCCACTTTTAAAATCGTCTATAAAGTTGTTTGAAATTGTGCAACTTGTAGTTAAAGTAGAGTGAGTCATTCAATTTTCTTGTTTTATGTTTATCACCTCTTCTAGTCCATTAAATTAACTCTCTAGACAATTCATCATCAGCTCATTATACGTGCCCACTGAGGGGCTCGGAGTCTACCCTAATTAGGGGTGACTAGGCCATAGTCAACCACGCTAACCAAGTGCGGGTTAGTTGACTTCACACATACCTTTGAATTTCTTCACAGATAGGTGCAGGTTGCTTCACGATGTTTCCTTCACCGTAAGAACGTCGGATAAATGTACATATGTAAATCGAAAAACACATTGCTAAATGGAGTGATTCGAACCCAGGAACTGCAGATTGCAAGTCAAGTGCTTAACCACTGAGCCACTGACGCTACAATATATATAGACAATTATCTAGAAGAAATTTCTTTATGAAATGTTACACATACACATAAAGAAAATAATGATAGATAGAACTAAGTAAAATAAATGCTAAAAGCAATGTATCACACAGGATTTTAGCTACTTCCGAAATAGTACTGAAATTTCACATATCTTGTGACCTTTAAAATATACTGTTATAGTGCAATTTTCATAGTATCTAGTCCAGAGTTGCTCTTACCTTAGTATTCTATCTAATTAAACTAACGTTTAAATAATTAAATATAATAACAGTACCACGGCGTAAAGCAACATCAATTTAAACTTTAGCTATTAAATCTAATGTAAATTAACTTTAGTTTGTCTAACTTTTGTTAGTTTTGTTATACTTCGACAGCGTGACCGAATTGTGTAACCTACACTGAATTTTGTCAAAATATTGATCGTACTATTATGTAATATAATATTTATGTATATTTATAACTAGCTAGTATTAAAATACGTAATTACTAGCCTATGTGTTCTTCCAAATTTCACATTTACATAAATATAAATTTATATCACAATGCAGGACTAAAACCAATTCTACGTATTTCAAACACAAACAAAGCTTTGAACATGAAATTGAAATTTTATTCGAAACATGCGAACGACATGTTTGTTTAAAGCGTTCACATCGACAAACACTTATGCATAACTTTGATTATTGAGGATCGGACTAGGCAAAGAGCCGTTGCGTCATTGCTAATAAATTCTGCAACTTTCCAGAACAGATAGCGAGGTTAAAATGACAATCAATGCACATCATGCTGAGCACAAAATGGTTTAGAATGTATTGTTCGTTATTACCAGACAGAGCGGTATGTGCGCTTGACAGGTCCTGGAAATTAAAATTCAAAGAATCACATCGAAGGTTGCGATTCAACTTTCTGGCAACGTTTGCGAGGAAAACGTTTATCTACATTTTGTTTTCAAACTCTACTCTTCCGTTGGTGATATTTATCTAAAAATTTATTAAATTTCGTATTAGCAAATACAAATTTCTTCTATAAAAGATGAATTTAATATTGTAAATAAGCAGTTTAGTTTTATATATAATAATTATGCCAGACTATTCATTCATCATTTGCAGCTGTCGTACACTACATCAGCCTTCGTTTGTTTTCTATCAAAGACAATAAACGCGAAGAAGCTTGCAACTTGATTTTACTGAGTAGTTCCATAAAAATGTTAGTAAAATTAGTTCCAAAAACCTATAATTAATTTGATGTGATTGAAGTATACACGATAAAATTTACATTGGAAATAATACAACTAGCAATGTTGTAACTCGTTTATACAATAGTTGTTCAATTTCAATTATATTATTGTTATCGTAATGTCAGGGGGAGGAAGTAGGGGGGAGGGGGAGGTATTCGCCTAACTACTACACTGAAATTTCGTAGCATACAAAGAAAAAATTGGACAAGACATCTATAAATAAATGCAATTATTTATTAATATGTAACGAGCCTAAATCCTTGAGACTATTTAATATTAATAATTCAGTAACAAATGTATTAGATAGTTAAGAATTCATTAATTTTCTAACACATTCTACATCGGATTTCCACTTCGGAAATACCCGCAAAAATATACTGTTTCTCTGTCTTTTTCATACAAAATGAGAGAGACAACAACATGTCCAACTGTATTTTTTACATAAATGACTACAGTTTTTATTGTACATTTTACGAGCAACATAATCTGTCATTTGATAAGTCTATATTACTTCCACGAACAAAGGATTTTTTTATTACTTGTCCAGTTAACTTAGGTTACGAATATAAAACACATTAGCCTTTGCGAATAGAAAAAGAAATTATAGTTTATTAATTTGAACACGTCAATTTCACGTAAAGTAATATTAAAGTAGTAATTGCTTGTTTCGTAATTAAATTGATAACATCTTTCATAAAAGCCACGATAGTCACAGGGTCGACCGGAGCTGTAAAAAGCGAGGGGCACCACGGCGCCTGGCCTCACGGGCGCCCATTATCCGGCCCTGGTACTGCGAATAAACTACGTAGTATTAGAGGCGCCTGAATTATTTTTTTCACTCGGGCGCCCAGTATGGTAAATACGACCCTGGATGTCAATTAACATGTATACAATTTCAGATAAGTAAGTGTTCCGGTGTAAGTTATAAGACTAATATTATTTTATATTTTTTATATGACTTTTAGTTTTGTAATTAATTTAACTTTATTATCGTTAATAATAGTGTAAAGTAAATGTAAAAACAACTCCGTAGTAGTTGTAGTTTCCGTAGTTTTATACAACTCCGTAGTTTATTCGTAAGATTAGGAAATTAAAAATAATGTTACGTATTTTTTTTCCAAAATTATTAACGTTTGATTACAATTCTATCGAATATGCTAGAATTCAAAGCTAGAACGTGTGACCTAACAGTAACCATTGGACCAAGGGACGACTACTTATATTGGATAAGTCAGGCAAAATGAAGTAACTGGTAGAGCGTAAATCTAACATTGGGTAATATAGATATCATAATATAGACTCTATATTGTATAGGTTACATGACTTTATATTCAGACTAGTCGGTTCCCGCGACTTTGTTCTGTGGAATAATAAACTTAACCTTTATTCTAATATTTTGTGTCAGTACGCCTTATATTTTTTTACCTTATTGTGCTAACGTTTCGTCTAAACTGATACATAATTAAACTTTAATCAAACATACTTGTATTTACTACAAAAGTATAGTTTCCAAGTTGCCTGGATAAATATAAAAGGATTTTTTTAATTCATTTATCAATCCGATAATATAACGTGTAATTAAATTTTTTAACCTGTTAATTAAGATTGCATATATATTGACTTTTTAATTATATTAACCTTCATAAATTATTTACTGATTGGAATGTAACGTTTGAAATTATTTCTTTAAAGTGACATTCATGTTTAACAATATCAGAAATGTGTGAAATAATGGAGAATAATGAAAATCAACGTAACAAGGTAATTGAAAAAAAAAATTATGCTTAAATTGTATTCGATGTATGTTATTAACCAGTTTTTCGTGTGTGTGTGTCACTTACATAATTTTATATGTAAAGAAAAAAACACAAAATATTGTCTATGCTCTATGACTGCTCTCTCTTTACTCTATGACCAATATGGCTCCGATTTTTTTGTATATTTATAAAGATTTTTGTTTTATAGCGTAATGATCATTTCCCAAAGATTATTTTATTAATACTGGCAGCCGAGTTCTGTGAACGAATGTCTTATTCTGGAATGCGAGGTAAGATAGTTCTTTGAAATTACTAATTAAAAAAAATCGTTGTCCAATTTCGATTTTTTTTTTTTAAATCCAAATTGTTTTCTTTGGATGTTGAGTGTGTGACGTCATATATTCTTTTAGTTTTTTTAACCTTGTACTTGCGCAATAAATTGGATTACACTGACGATGAGGCAAAGGAAATCTATCACATGTTCAATGGTATGGTCAGTCTTTGTCCCGTATTCGGTGGGATAGTAGCTGATAATTATCTAGGAAAATATCGGTAAGTTAACTTAAATTGTCATAAAAAAACATTCCTTTTTGGTACACTTAAAGGAAGGTAATCTTACTAATTTTATAAATACGAAAGTTTAAATATAGAGATGTTAGTTAGAAAGTGTCTTCAACACGACTTAGTGGATCTCTGTCTAATTTGGCGTAGATGTAGAGCATAATCTGGAACACATAGACAACTAATTAAGTTTTTATTTAATTCCGCTTGGACAGAATCGTGGAGAATAAAGTATTATATATTTGTCCTTTTCATTGTGATCCATGTCACTTTATGGCGTTAAATGGTTTAACCCTTGACACCGTTTTGTCCTGTACGCTTGTTTTTTATTTAGTAATAGGTAATGTTTTATTCTAGAACAATATTATACATGATGTTTATTTATGTTTTGGGCAACTCATTAGTAGCTGTTACCGCGATACCACAACTAATGTTCCCCGGTCGGTGAGTTATAAGCTTTATTATTTTGTTATTAATAGTTTTAGAGTTAAAGGTCGAGTACGCGGCTAATATATCTGGGATACAAACGACCGATGAAACAATACAATAATTTTAAAAGGTTTAACTTGTTTTAGGCCTTACTTTAAAGGCGAATTCTTATTTCATTCAGTCTTTCCAGACCCGCGTAACGAGGCGTCGCCACTTCCCCCTAGTCGCTACCTTTTTACTACATTGGTGTAGGGGGACATCTACAGCCGCTCTGATTTGGTCGGTCCACCTCATGGACGATCGTCCCCGTGGTCTAGTGCCCTCCACTTTCCCCGCACAACCAAGCGCTCGATGGACTCGTCATTACGTCTACAGACGTGACTTATTGATATATACGGTATTAATATATTATTTTTAGGTTATGTACATTACTGGGTTTATTTCTAATCGCGATCGGCACTGGTGGTATCAGGCCTTGTGTGACTGCGTTCGGAGGCGAACAGTTTGCTCTGCCTGAGCAGGAGAGACTGCTTACATTGTACTTCAGTATACTCTACTTCAACTTGTGTGTAGGCAGCCTTATAGCGAAGACATTAGCACCAATATTCAGAGGCGACGTCCATTGCTTTGGTGATAAGGATTGTTATCCACTAGCGTTTGGTGCACCCGTTATTGTTATTATTATTTCAATAGGTATGTTCATTCAACTAATAAAGTCAACTCACAAGTTCAGAGTATTTGGTTCTTAAAACAAACGCTTAGTGTAGATTTCTTGAACTAAAGGCTTCACTTAGTGACGCTGGAAGCTTTAATGTAATAAAATTATTGTTATACAAGAAGATTGTATTGGTCATTGTGTCTGCACACCCTAAGTGGACTTTCATAATACCGAATTCGGTTACGGCGTTGTCAGTTCAAACTCCCAAATTATTATTCTACTGTACTGTTGTTCTGTATATTTTATTGTGTATCATTTATATATTGTTATAATTTTTATTTTGCAGTGGTATTTGTGTGCGGGAGACGTCATTATAAAATCAAAGATCCGAAGGGAAATATTGTGGTTGATTTTACTAAATGTGTTTATGTAAGTAGTCTTCACCTATAATAATAGTATGTTTTGAAAGGAAAATGGCGCGTTAAAAATCAACATTGGTTGGAAATTTTACTTCATAATTTTCAATTGAGATAATAATGAGAATTTTAGATTTGTTTTTTTTTCTTTACCTAATTTCTGAAGCTACTAAATTTCTTACAATAATTTTAAATATCCCTTAAAATATATGGATAAAGTTATATAAATATTTCTTAAGATATTATAAAGTTAATGAACTCTGTTTTATTTTTTTCTAATAATTTTATTTTATTCGCCAGCTAGGATTAAAGTTAAAAATAACAAAACGTCGTCAGAACAAGCACTCTCATTGGCTGGAAAGTACACGACACAAATACGACAATAAATTTATTTGTGACGTAAAGAGAACCTTATCTATACTTAAGTTGTTCATTGTAACTCCGATATTTTGGTCACTTCTTGAACAAATGGTAAATATTTGTTATTTTTACTCTTCTTCATTTATATAATTATAATTTTACTGATATTATAAATGTAGTTTGATGGATGGATGGATGTTTGTTAGAAGGTATTTCGAGAACGGCTGCATGGATCTTGCAGAAATTTGTCATAGATGTTGAACATAGTCTCCAAGATCACATAGGCTACGATTTAATTCCGAGTGGAAGGATCCGTGAGCGACAGCTAGTATCTAGAATAAAAAGGAAATATATTATAAATATTTTCTAATTAAAATCCACAGGGATCCAGTTGGGCGCTGCAAGCGTCAAGAATGGACGGCAGATTAGGGTCATACATGATCAAACCTGATCAGCTAATCGTGCTGTCACCTATATCTGTTATGAGTTTTATAGCGTTATCACAAAAGGTACACATTAACTAGGTGTTGCCTACGTCTTCGTTTGCATATTATTAAAAAACTTATATATACTTATATCTTTTTCAGTATCTCTATCCATGTTTAGCTAAATGGAATTTATTGACGAATCCGTTAAACAAGCTAAAATTAGGGGGCATCATGGCTGCATTGGCATTCGTAGCATCCGCCAGTGTCGAAACATATCTCAAGGTATTAAGAGAAATCCATAAGCAAGCAATCGTGGTCCCTTGAACTTGCTTTTTTTGCTAAAAATATTAGCAATTTTTTGTTAATTTACAAATATTTCTTGTACCATTTCAACAAAGCACTATACTTGGTAAGACATGGTTTATAGTCGAATGTCGGGATTCGCACCCCCAACCTCGTGATCGGGAACCCGTATCCTTAACCATTAGGCTATCTACGCTTCTAAATGCTTATTCAAGGTTCAACTGTATTACTTTTGTTGAATGAAATGTTCCATTAAAACTAAAGCATATTACTATGGGACAAAAATGTTTCTAAACTTTCTATCTTTAGCTTCTAAAGTTTTCTTTAATTGCCATCTACTGTACCGCTTGGCGGACTGGTTAACTTCCATCATTTAAGAGTCCTTTGAAATCTTATCTTGGCATTAAAGTATTTTTTATTGATGTAACAAACTTAAAATTCTATTAGTTAATTATCAGAGAAAGACTTTAAGTTCTCTGAGAGATAAGAAGACAAATAAATGTAGAAATTGATAAGCTGTTAGACCATTTTAATAGTTTTAATTTTTTTGATCATCATCATAATCAGCCTACATTTGTCCACTGCTGGACGTAGGCCTCACCCATCGATTGCCACAATGCCCGGTCCTGTGCCGTCCGCATGCACTCCCGCAACCTTGACCAGGTCATCGATCCATTTATATGAACAGGGTACAATATATAAAACTACAATAAAATTGTCTATAAACCCGTTGTGTCTTATGTTTTTACCACAGACAACGTATCCAGAACTGCCACAAAAAGGTTTTACTCAATTAAGAATCTTCAACGGCAATCATTGTAGTGTTACAATATACAATGAAGCGAAGAATATTTCCTATACGATACCAACTCTTTCACAATTTACGAACACCAAAATAAACGTATTTAATAAAGAGTCTGTCCATTTAAATTTCTTGAGTAATTGTTCTCAAATAAAATATAAAGAATTAATACTTGAAGAAAAAAAAGCCAATTCTTTCTTTTTAACCAAAAACAATATTTATATTTATGATGATAATATTGAGAAAAGTAAATCAGGATTTCCTATAATAAGGTATGAAATTTTACTACGAATCTTTATTGACCTTTAAAGATATTTACGTTGCTTAATGTTTTAGTTTTTTTACAGATTTCTAATCACTGATGATGTCAAGAAACCCATAGAAATGTACAATATGAAAACAAATAATATAGAAGTTAACATATCAACTAACAATATAAATGATCGATGGGAAGTTTTTAGATCAAAATATTATATAAAAGTTGGTGGACGTGAAATCTTACACAATACTCAACTCGAAAGCGGTGGAGTGTACAATATTATTGTAGCAAAGGACACAACGGATTACGTTAGTATGCTTAAAAATGTCCTGATTCCTTTATAATTAATCCTAATGTGTATTAACATCATATTCACTAGCAAAAACAATATTATTTTCAGATCGCGAATGTAATATTGGTCACGGAGCCAAATTCTATAACAATATTACTTCTTATTCCACAATTCATATTTCTTTCAATTGCAGAAGTAAGTATCTCTTATCTAGTATATCTTACTAGAAATATAAATGCGTATGATTGGATGGATGGATGTTTGCTTGAATGTTGATGTAGAACATAGTCTGGAAGGACACATAGGTTACTAATTAAGTTTTTTTTTAATTCCGCGCGGACGGATTCGCGTGCGACAGTTAGTTTTGTATATAAATTTTAAAACACACCAAATAAAGATTTATATGTTAGGTAATGTATGCAGTAACCGGCAGTGAGCTTGCGTTTCGAGAGGCGCCAGAAAATATGAAAGCAGTTGTCGGCTCAATTTGGATCTTAATGCAAGCGTTTGGCAATATACTTATTATTATATTCACTCGTTTGTTAGTTAATGTGCAAATGGTAAGAATATTTAAGGTTATCGCTCATTCGGTCACATACGACGAAAAGGGTTACGTCTCAAACATCAATTCACACAGATTTCTTTTGAGAACGATTATTAGATGTAACTCTTTTCGTTGTATTGTTCGATTAAACGCACCAAGTACGAACCTATTTAGATGGAATCTACAAAATTTGGTACCTAATACAATTGCTTTGAGATCTTTTTGAATTTTTCTAACATTTTGATTTACTTTACACTTTTTCTAGCAAACACAATTTATAATGTACGCAAGCTTGATGTTTTTGTCAATGCTAATATTCCATTACCAAAGTCGAAATTACAAGTTCGCGGAAAAAATTGAAGACGAAGAATTACAAGAAATGAAAGGACATTCAAAATATAATACTAATGAAGTGGAATATAAATTCAACGACACAAATTCTGAAGAATTAAATGATTTAACTAAACAGTAAACAAAATGGAAATTCCATTAAACGTAGTAATTAAAATACCTCTATTTGGTATCAGTATTTTTTTTTATGCTGTTATTAAATACACAGATTTTTAAATTCATCCTTCCTCCTCCCTCCTTCATCAGGGTGAGTGGGACTGGTATTATTTCGCGGACGCGGCCGTCAGCTCACAGTGAGCCCCCGATAGGCTCGAAACTAGTCGGTGCCGCCACCAGACGAATATACATGAGTGTTTACCCGTTTTTATATAAGTTACACGAAAGTGTCTTACGAAAGCTTGAATAATTTACACAGATTTTTTTTTAATTTGCTACGATTTGTTTCTTTTTAAATTGTTTTTATTAACTGTGTCCCGAGTTAAGGATATGTATTAACTTTATAATAATTATTGAAATATTATCTACTTCAGCAGACTTGATTTTTTCAAAATAAATTATAGTTTGCTAAAGTTTTAAATAATACCAGAAAATGGTAACCTTTAATGGAAAATGATTGAAAACTAACAATAGTTACCTACGTGTAAAAAGACATCAGCATTGAATTTCATCGCAATCTTTCCAAGACGTAGGAAACTCGATCGAGTGAGCTAAGACAAGATATTTGATATATTGTTCTTATTCGTTCACTCGTGTTCAGCTCGTTACAAAAAAAAACAGTATCAGAGCTTTCTATTAGTGACGATATTTAATAAAAATTGATTTGTTTTTGACTTACTGGGCAAGATACGAAAACTATTTAATATCAATCAAAAGTAGAATACAATATCATGCTATTCATACTAATATTATAAATGCGAATGTTTGGATGGATGGATGGATGGATGTTTGTTTCAAGATATCTCCACTATGAATCAACGGATATCAACGAAATTTCGTGACTGTAGAACATAATGTGAAAGAACACATAGGTTACTAATTAATTTTTTTTTAATTCCATGCGGACGGAGTCGCGTTCGACAGCTAGTAACAAATAAATAGGAATATCGTATCACGATAATAATAATCGTATTAGTTTTAATTTTTTCTTTGTTTAATTTTAATAATAGAACTGCTTACGCGACTATTGTTGACAAGTTGGTAATATAGTATGATTTTTTTTCTGCATCAACAAATTATATTCAAACGTATTATCTAGTAAGCTGATGGATAACGCGGACAATATCGACAATTCACAGCAAGACGGGAATTGCAGTCGGAATTCCGTTGGGAAATTCTGCATTCATTTCCATACTCGAATTGCGAAATCGCGAATTCGCACATCCTATATGTACAACTACGATCCCCAATCTATATTTGAGTATCTCCAATTTTGCATCTACTTTAACGCATTAGAAAACAAAACACTACAATGTAATGGATAAAAATAAATTTAACCCTCAATTCGATGGTGTCCAGTGTGACGAACAACTAATTAAAAAAAATCTACTGAACTAGTTTAGAGAAAATTACGTAAGTATGACTTTACAAAAAAAAACTGTTTTTTGCTTCAAAAAATTTCGTCGAATTAAGGGTTAAGGAATTCATTATATTTTATAATTTGGTGTTGTTAAATAAGTTTTTGAATCTATAGCAATTTTGTGTTCCAAATTCGTCAATAACATTGTTCAACGGCTTTTTAGAAATAAATAATACTTTTATATATCAAATTAATAAATATAACAAACAATAACAGTCGTTTATCTCTGAAGGTATAAAATTAAAATGTACAGTAAGCTAACGGAATACTAATTCGCATAGAAAACAATGTTACCGGTTATAAAATTCAAATAAAACGACCGTTATCGTTTTATAGACGCGATAAACCGGGAATAAGCAATTTCCTAAAGACTTAATGAGACGAGACTTCCCAAAATTTATTATTGTTACTATACTTCTAAGACTAAAGATTTGTAAAAGTTCAACAAACTTTTTAAAACTCAATTACACTGATTCTTATATAAACAACCAGGCCAGTTTAGTTGACTATGGCTTCATCATATTCAGGCCTAATTCGTCCACTGCTGAACGTAGGCCTCCCCCATCGATTGCCGCAATGCCCGGTGCTGTGTCGTCCGCATGCACTCACGCAATCTTAACCAGGTCATCGGTCCATCGTGTGGGAGAACTCCGCTGCGTCGACCCGTCCTCGGCCGCCACTCTAGGACTTTTCGGCCTTTCGCCCCTAATTTTAGGCTCAAAGCACCTTAGTGGGAACGTATTGAGCTGATGATGATACAGAACGTCTACGAATTTATCTACTATCCTTGTAGACAAAATTTCATGTACCATGAAAGAAAATGACTGGATTGTATTTTGGACTGTAAATTTATTAAAAAATAACATATTAATGTTAAGTAAATACGTGACCCACGGAAACGATAGTCGACTACAGGAATTAAAATAAAATTTTATATAAAATATAACGACTCTATTCCTTTTATTAATCCTAATAAAGTATGAAACGTAAGTCAACATTTTTGGCAACAATGTATTTTGTTATGCAGATTTGTTAAGAGAAGCGATCAAATAACATGATCTAGAAACTTCGAACAATGTTGCAGTGCATAAATAAAATTTATATCATGTGGTTATTAGAAAACTTTCTTTGAAATGCACTTTTAAAAGTTTTCCTTGCGCTCTTCTCCGGTACTTACCTGGGACTCCGTACAAAGTAGTTGGAGAGATGCCAAATGTTTACACTGTCTTGTGATAAACAATCAGCAAATCATATAGATACTACGAAAATTTATTTGATAAGGTAACTTTTACTTTCCAACTTATTACATGTAAGAGGGATGTACAAATACAATAAAGTTATTAAATTTTAAATAAAAAAATACAATAATGTTGTAGCAATAATACCTCTGACATAACAGTGTTCTTAAAGCTATATCTTACTTACTAATATTATAAATGCGAATGTTTAGATGTATGTTTTTTGAAGGCATCTCCGGAACGGCTGAACGGATCTCGCTGAAATGTGACATAGTAGAACATAGTCTGAAAGAACACGTAGGCTACAGATTAAGTTTTTTTAATTCAGCGCGGACGACGTCGCAAGCCACAGCTAGTACTTCTACAAATATATTATTGTAGACTTGCGGCAATGTAAATTCACATTTTAATTGTAGTTTAAACTTGTTAATGAAACTATAACTTACATAAATGTACTTTAATACTTTCACTTACTATAGTTCTGATTCAGAAAACCCTGCACTTTTCACTCCCTTTTGTGCGCGACTGCGGAGGTTTTAATAAAAATAAAATAGCTCTTTGTTCTTTGGCAACACTTCGTTCTCATTGAAACTAAAGTTCATTTCATTGTGTGGTATTTCGAGACGCTGTCTCCGTAAAAAAATGACGATAAAGATATATTAATAGTACAATTATCACTACTATTTTTCAATACTCAGTGTTAACCTTTACTTACAGTAATAAATAGTATATTTTTTATATTATAATAAAATAAACGAGCAACATATAAATACGTTGAAATAGCGAAGTGACCCCTGCCCATAGATATCTGCAATTGTTGATGTTGTTTAATCGACAGAGGAAGCCGCACAAAAGAGGATATATTCCTGTTCTTTTCCTCCTTCGTCAAATCCACTTCCCTATCCCACCCTCTCTTTATTTTAGGTTAGACGTGAATCGCTCTATGGTGAGATATATGAACTGGCAACCTATATGAATGGACCAAACTTGTATTAAAAAATAAAATAAAATAACATTTAATCCTTCCGATATTACAACACAATTAACAAAATAATTACAAAGAAATAACACATAAAAATATAACAATTAAAAATAAAAAGGAAATATTTATAAAGAGTGTTGTAATGCTGATCGGATAAGGTTTCACTCAGCTTTGTATGCTGGGTGTTCCTCTCTGGACCATTCAACGCTGATCTTCCGTGAAAACCCGTTAACAGTTCTATTTTCCAATGCGATTATTTAACTTAATAGACATAGAAAATTGCGTGCATAGTTAACGTTTTTACATTTATTAAGAAAGAAAATTACAAAGTAAATTATCCATTCAACATAAACTATTTCGATTGTCGGTTAGTTTTTTAATATAAAAACTTCGACGTCCATTAAATGCAGTAGACATTTAAAAATGGAATGTCTGGCATCGGTCCAAATATTTTGAACTGAGTTTAACAAAGCTGTAGCTTTTTTAAAATAAACGACAACACATTTACTAGTAATGCAAAGACTTAAAAAAGAAAAAAACTAAGTTCTCTTTGTAACTACAATGAACAAATGAAATTTAAAAAATTCTTTCTTTTCACAGTTAAAATAAAAGTTTCTCTACGGAACCTTACAAAGAACAAAGAAATAAAGTATATACAATAAAAAAATATTAAAAAGTTTCAAGTAATTTTGTACCGCTGAAGGCATTTACGTAAAAAAAAATAAACACCTACCGCAAGCGCCTAACTATAATAGAGTCGAATAGTTAGAATAGTTGCAATCGGCAAAGCAATAATGCGGTATTTCCCAAGAGAACTGTATGCAACACTTCTTGCATTTAAAATACTTAATAGTTCCTTCCGTGAGTTTTAAATATAAAAAGAAGCGAAGTTTCGATGCGGTCACCTATTCACTTGAATTCCTTGTCCTGAATGTAATAAAAAAAAATACACAGTAATGGATGCGGTATAATTAAGCGATTCGTACGCTCCATTGAGTCCCTTCGCTGGATAGATAACAGACAGACAGGCGTCTATTTCTCGGATGAGTTTCCGATAATCGATGTGAAGGAACACATCAGGCATTTAGCAGACATTTACAGATCTTCAGTATTTTATTATGAATTTCACGGTCTAGTTTTGCCCAACCGACGACAGGTGAGTAATATTAAAAAATACGGTTAGTTTTTTTTTTTTATATCACAAGGTGGCAAACGAGCGAGCGGCCACCTGAAATCGCTGAAATAGCGAAGTGACCGTTGCCCATAGACATACGCCATTGCATATGCGTTGCCTACCTTTAATCGACGGAGGAGAGGATGCACAGAAATAAAATATTTTCCCTTTCCATGCATCCTCTCATCCGGAAAGTCCACTTCCACTTCCCATTCTTTCCTTATAAGAAATAGGATAGGAAGGGAAAGAGGACTAATTTTGGCCTCCGGGACGCACACTCATCAGACGAAACGCGGAATTGCTTCCACTTCACGCCTGTCTTCTGTGTGGTCGTGGTATTTCACCGGGCGAGCCAGGCCGATTCGTGCGAAGATGTTAAAGCGGGCTCTACCACTGTTGAACTGGGTATGTAATGACCGTTCCATTGTGACCATCTTCAACTTCATAGGCACTACCAATGTTAAATACGTCATTGGAGCTTTTGTTTTTTTTTACTTAACATTTAATTATTAAGATCTTTTCTTTCATCTATGTATCTTGTGCAATATGGTAACGGAACAGTGAGTCGACGATACTTATCGTCTATTTGGTGCACCATTAAAAAAATTGCTGCAACTTTTCCCAATTTTTTGCGAAATGTCGCGTGCTGTGCACGAGCCTATATAACACTGGATTGCGTAAGTCGCCTAGCTAGTAAACTATCTGTTTTTCGAAGATTTACGTTGCTTTGTGTACGAAGGTCCTTAGATGTTTGTGTTTCGACTAATGAATTTACCGTTCAATGCTCTAGACTAATATACAATAAACAACATTATGTCATAAACATCCGCGTATCTCAGGGGATTAACTCAAGATTGCTTCCTCTGTGTTCTCTTCTATCCAATTTATTTGTTATACTAGCTTTGTCATATTAAACTAATTCAACTACCTTATACGTTCGAGAATAAATATTATGTTACTACCTCTTACTTATGCAATATAATACATATAAAGTAAAATAAACTTATATTTAAGGCATGTTGTCATACAGTCCTAAGGGCGTCAAGGAGATGATTTACAACGTATACCTTTCTCTCTCACTCCCTTTTTGAGATATATCTTCCCTTTCAGTCGTGTAACGATATCTGCATAACCGTGTCATTGAAGAATGTTTGTTTTGTTTTTTTTTCATTATCTTTTTTTATGTCATCTGTTACGTAGTTAGAGAATCGAGATACCAATTTAGAGATTAATAACGTCTAGTCCAGTAATTACCTAACAAACTACCTATAGGTCTCGAATTTGGCATTTTGTGTGGTGGATCAAGGCCCACTTAAGTATATAAAGTCCACTTTAAGTACTACCAACTTTACTCTTTTCCTATACTTGTAAAATGATCAGGTAGTAGACGCCAAATTGTGATTGGCGAAGGCACCCCATTCGTCTGTGACTTACGATGGCAATTTATAGATAATGGCATTTTCGTTCCATAATGTATAAGGGGTAAATTGCCATTATAGAAATTTTCTATTAGCAATTCCATAATTCAACATACTTGCTTTCGAGATTTTCGAATTTCAGCAATCAAAAAGGTAAGCTATTTTTAATTTTTACTCTGTTTATTATCATCTGTTATATCATTCAGACATTCGTTAGATTATATTTTATCTGTTGTACACCACAAAGTAGGTTAGCTATCATTAATTATGTTCAATTTGAATGCAAACAAACGAAGTGGCCAGTCACGCTAATTATTCATTAAGCTTTCGCTCTGTAAGACCCCGCTCGCAACAAATATATATACGTTATACATTTTAGATGTCCCAAAATTACTAAACTTCGTACTTTTACGACGTTTTCTTTTCGGGATCGACCACAGATACGAAAATCCAACACCCATCCGTGTCGCCTTGTTAATACCACCAAAATTTAATTGTAAGAAAGTAGATAGCCGGCGAGAACAATAATTTTTAAGATCAAAATGCATTCAAAGAGTGATGTCGACCACTTCATCGATACCAGCTCATGTTCAATTTGTTTTAAAATATTGCTCAATGAAAAATAGGAAAAAACTACCGACCACTTTCTTTGCTGTAAAGATTCGCTAGACAATACCTAAAAGTGTTGTAAAATTTTAATTTACGAACTATCGGTCACATGATCTTTACGACTTAGGGCAAAAGGCAAGCAAGAGTTTCATATTTTATTTCGAACGACGTGATTTAAATGTCTCTATTATATTTTACGACTCATTTTCTAACTGTTACGGTTGAATAAATCAAATGATATAAAAAATTTACACCCTCATAAAATATGTAATAACCAAAGTTGATTTTTTTCAATGCAATAGAGGCGTACATAAAGTCGTATGAGCATTAAAATTGTAGAGAGACTGTGTACTAAGATTAGGGAAATTCTAAAAGTTCTTAACCACTAAAAAGTTAATAGTACTTTTAGTTGGCGGCGGGCGAGATAACCTTCCCAAATATTGGGGTGGCTGCTGTATTTATCTGCTAAAATTATAGCTTAAAGTAAAGGATGCGAATAAAAAACTAACTAGTATGATCGATATTTTAAGTTGATTCATTTTTATTCAATATCTAATATCTCAATTCAACATCACAAGCAAAGAGTATATAAAATCACAAGCGTCAAGGTGCCTTACGCTTAACCGATATTTATTCCATTATAGAACTTTGATTAACTCGGCCAAAAGCCTTGTATCAATCGCTAATACATTTAAGAACTACAAAATATATGTTCCTGTACAAACACGAGAACACATTTTCTTTAATTTATTTGATTCCTAATATCAAAAAGAAAGGCTTATTTTGAAGGAAATTGAAATTAAATATATTTAATAAATACATTTATTTTATTTTGTAATTTTTATCGTTAAAAAAGATAATCAAAAGCCGTACAGAGCAGAATGACTGGTGCCAGAAATTACGAAACGGAACGTTAAGTTATTTGAAAATGAATATCAATTCAACCGTCAAACTCTGTTTCAATTATTTATTTAAAAGTTAAGTTTCTTATTATTTCTTTGTTTGATTCGAGTAAATAACTTTGATAATAATTATAACCATGTGCAAATATTGAATACAATAAAGTTGAAGTATAATTATAAACGTAATTGGCGCTATCCAGGTATTTACGTCTACGAAATCTTTTTGTTTTTGTCATAGAAATTATCAATTGTCTACTAAATATAAAAATAAATTTACCGAAACTTTAAAGTCTCATTTCATTTGTTTCTTCTTGTAATGTTATAACTATTTAACTTTAATTAATTAATCGTACATCTGTATTCACGACAACGAATCTGTTAAATTAGTACATTTTTCCAGGTGAGTAACGATGCATAGATCAAAAATACCGTCTCCCGCCCGCTCTGAAGGTGCCAAAGTGACCCCAAGGAGGCACCGATTCAGATCATCACGGAGTGTATCATCACCTGCTCGTTCTGATGTGTCAGTCAAACTATCGTCTATTGTGCAAATGCATGCAATGCAGTCACCTGTACAATCACCCCTCAGGACTCGGAGATCTGTTTTATCCGATAATACTGATATTGAAGTGCCCGCACGTAAGTAAACCATTAATAATGTAATAGTTAGCATGTCAAGACATACCACTATATTTTTGAATTTGTGGAACTGAAAGTGTTAATTGTGAATTTTTATTGCAATTACTCATTTACACATCTTCTTCAATAAGAATATAAGGGATGTCTATATGTTTTGTATAAGTTATTCAAAAATTGCTTTAGATTTCATAAGCAAATCAATTTTGAATAATATAAATGAAATAACAGAATCACTATAGTTATTATTACTTATTTATAAAGTTACTAACTACTTACCTGGATTAAAACCTTAAATGATAATACAAATAAAATAAATTGTACATGACATATTAATGGAAGCAATTTAGTATTTCAAAAATTTAAAATATGTAAATGTGACTTAACAAAGCCATCTAGATATACATATTTATAATTTGAATTAATAAATAATTGAATTACAAATGTTTAGGCCAAAGCTGGTGGAAAAGATTAGAGGATAACTCGAGGGATGTAATGGATGTGTTTGAAAGTAAAACAACTGAGCAAACAGAACATATAGAAGAATACATTGAAGCTGATTTAAAAAGGTAAATTTAATTTCAAAATATACTACGCTATTTATAATTGTATCAAGAATCTCTCAAATTCTACTTTTTAATGGGGTGTGTATGAAAACTAGTCCAACACCAGATTTCAACTGGTTTTGGCCAAACTGACCCTTTAGCCATCACAATTACAAATGGAGCTATCTTTGAACTACTTTATTTTTTTTAATGACATTATTTTGACAGCCAATACATGCTAACTTCAGTTAATTTTAATAGATCTTTTTAATCACTTACAGTCAAGACAATGACTACACAGTGGACTTGCCAGAAAGCAGCGATGGAGAGTCAATCAATAGTATAGTCCTACCTCAAAGAAAGTTTTTTAGCCAAAAGCAAACTCAATCAAATAAATTATTCAATAAAATTATAGAAAATAGAGAAAACTTAACACATCGTAAAAGTAAAGCAAACACTGATAATACTATCTTTGTTGGTAAAAAGAATTTCTTTAACAAAGACACAGAAGTAAGAAGAAGTAGACCAGCTTTTCCACCAGGGTTACTTAACATGACAGACAAGACTATAAATAAAACTCATGATATTACAAAGCATGAACAAGTTCGGAATCTGTTAGGTAACCGTGCAGGTACAAAACGTAAAAACATGTTTGCTGACTTCATTATGTCAGAAAGTGAAGAAGAAATCCCCGATATTCAACCAAACGTTTTTGGATTTGCAAAAAGCAAACAACCACAACGTAAAATGTCTTCACAAGGTACTCGTAACACTTCACCAAGATCAAACGAAACTGATCTAGAATTTGAAGATTGGCAACACTTACCATCATCAACAATGGTTGACAATGAGTTTGGTAATACAGAAAGTTCTCCAGTGAAAAGACTGAGATTGAGTAAACCTGATAGTATTATTGAAGAAGTACGAGGAAATGCTAGAAATAAATTAGACAAAACTAAACTAACACTAATTATGTCTCATGGTCTAGAAGATGATAACGAATTCAATGAATCTGATAAAAAGCGAGATCCAAAAAATGCACATGAAAAAAAACTGACACAAATACCTGAGACAGAAACTGCAACACCATTTATAGCAGAAATAATTGAAGTTGAAAGTGATGATGAACATAATTTTACTTTAAGATATGATAATGATGATAAAAATATGCAAGCTGATGAAATGGACGTAACTGTTAAAGAGCTTGAAAAAAATAATTCAAACACTAATAAAAATATCAACGCAACGGTAACTACAGACAACGTATTAAAGTCTCCAGTTAAGGATAATGAGCCCAATGCTAATAAAAGTGGTACAGTTGAAGTGAGGGATGTAATTGATAGAAGTAAAACAATAAATCAAGAACAAGACAAAAATGTCTCCTGGAAAGTACTCAAAACACATAGAGAACAACATGCTGCCATTACTACTAACGAAGATCTACTTGAAAAAGATGTAAACAAAGTCATTAATACTTCAATGTCTGCATCAAATGAGAACGAAGCTTTTGATGAAATAGTCAACCCTGAAATATACATTGAAAGAAGAAACAGTAGTGTTGTTAAAGAAAAAACTAATTCCGAAACACAAATCATACATACATCAAATGATATTCCAAAAGGAGATGCTGCAAAAGAAAGAAAACAAAATGATGATGTTCTGGAAAAAGTAAAATCTAAAACTAAAGAAGATCTAAAACAAGTTGAAGCTCAGCAAGGAAGGAATATAAGTGTTGAAAATATGAATGAACAAATGGAATTGGATGGAAATATCAAACATGTTGATAAAGATTTAAATAAGGTAACAGAAGAAGAAAATCACAATGTTCATAAGAATGATGAAACGGATGAGGAAAAACGTCACGTAGAAGATGCTGTATATGAAAGCAGGAAAGAAACCCCAATAGAAGTAAAAACGAAGACAATCTGTGAAGAAAATCCAGGAACTGTTGAGGAACAACGAGAGGAAAATGACAATGTGAGTGCAAACGCGGAAATGATTGAATTAGCAAATGAATGTGATAAAGAAACTCAACAAATGGCAAAACATTCTGTGGATGGCAACATCGATCTAGCGAATAAGGACAAAGGCGACGACATTAATGAAAATATAGAGGTAGACGAAGACGAGCGCAATCTTGGACTTAATGAAACTATAAATAAAAGTCTTAATTCCGTAAAGCAAGGATCCTTAAATGAAAATATTCTGATAGACGATGAAGAAAGTAAACAAGATGATGAAGATAATATCACGGAAGACAATGAAACGAATAAAAGTAACGAAGAATCCAATAATATAGCTGTTGATGAAAATAATATAACAGAAGACGAAGACAATGATGAAGAAAATGAAGTAGATGATGAGGACAATGCAGAAGAGAGTGAAGAACAAAATGAAAGTAATACACAAGCTGGAGTATCCTCAATGGATGCTAATATCGAGTCTGATGATGAACAAAATCCAAAAGATAGTGACGAAGAAGATAATGATGAAAACGACGCCGAAGAAAATGAAATAACAGAAGAGAATGATGAAGAAATTGATAATGAACTCGGAATATCTTCAATAAATAAGAGTAGCGAAACGGAAAATGACGCAAACGACGATGAAGAGAATGAAGAAGAAAATGAAAGCGACGAAGGAATCAGTGATCGTATCGGAATGCCTTCTATGAATATTGAAACAGATGATGAGGATAACCAGAATAATGAAGAAATTAACATAGAACAAGAAATAGACAATGATAACAACTCAACGTCTGATAACCAAGTTACATTTTCAAAAGGTAAAGAACTAATTGTCATATATTTTAATTTAATGATACATTCTTTGTAAAATTAAGATCTTAAAGTGAACTTATTGAAAATCATTTACTGTCACTAGGTCGTATATATCTAACTAATGTAACTGGGGAGTCAACACACTCTTACGCTGAGGAAGCTGCTGACTCCGATCCCGAAGAGTTGCAGACGCGGCGGCTCGCGCTCGAGGAATATCTTATGAAGATCAAAAATGATAATATTGAGAAGAGACGAAAAATGGTATATTTTGCAAGCCTTTGTTAAACTATTTCGTATTTTAATATAATGACCTTAAAGTAACTCATTTAAAATATTCTTAGAGATCACTATAACTATTACTTTTATGAGGTCGTATCTTTCTCATCCCAAATTTATTTATTTTTTCAGGAGGAAGAGGTCAGAAATTCACTAAAGACAGCGTCAAGAGAACCTTTCAACAATTTCAAGGCTCCCGCTCGACCTAGACCAAGAAAACCTCAGCAACGATCCGATGTACCTCAACAGACGACGAAAGCCAAAAAGATCACATCTCTACTGAACATAGAAAACTTACCGCCGGAGTTGTTAGAAGACATGAAATACAAACCTCCTCGCAGATATCAGCCAAAAAGTGCTGCCTGGATCACAAAGAGGCTTTATAAATATCTAGAAACTAAACTAGAACCCAAGTAAGTATCATTATACGTATTTTGACATTATTAGTTGGAATCCTTTGGCGCGAAATGGTGCGCTTTCGTTACCAAGTCAAGTGTCAGAATTATTATGGAGGGGACATAAACGTTGATATTTTAACATTGCGCCAGTACACTGGCACAAAATTCCTAACATGAATGTTGTAGAAGCCAGAGAGGTGTGTGTGTGGTGTGGACCACACCAAATAGAGGTCTGTGTGTGGTGTGGACCACACCAAATAGAGGTCTGTGGTCTCTGTCTACTCCTCTGGGTAACGGGCGTTAGTTATATTGTTGTATGCTTATAGATACGATTACAAGGCTCGTGTGAAAGCGGAGAAGGTCGTAGAGGCGTTGTACGAGTTCAGTAAGGAGGTGCGGCGACAGCGGGTGGCGGCTCCTCACGCCGTAGACCTCATCAAGCTGCAGCTCGCGCGCGCAGGACTCGTCACCACGCACTATGACTTCTACAACTTCCTGCACGAGTTCATGCCCAGAGAGATACGGGTTAAGGTATTCATTCGACCAATTTCTCATCATATATATAATACAATGACATGTATATACTCTGTAACCTGATATTGTCTTCTCTCTCCTGAATAGTAATTAATCTGTTGATTGTCTTAACAATATTCACAATAAATATTTTTTTCCTTATTCATACCATAGAGTCTTTTCAACGAATATCCGTAATAACTTTTTTATAATTAATATTATCTTTTTTTTGTTCCCAGGTTGTACCGGATGTGGTGAATGAAATACCATTACCAAGAAACGGTGTGTTCTCTGATATTGTTTGATACAAAAATAATTGTTACTGTTTGTGTGTAAGATATTTAAAAAAGTGAATTTAATATACTTATATTATTATGTATTATTAAAAATGTAAATAAATTTCATTTCTTGTTTTAATTGTTATAACTTTATTTATTTACTAACAAATTATACGCAAAGATGTATCAAGGTCAAATATTAGAATCCTTTTTTAAGCACTTAGTTCAAAAAGTTTATGGTAAAAAATAAAACAAAAAATATTTATTCAATGATACTTGATTCTAGGACTTGTTTATTTTGAAAATAGTTGGATACAAATGTACACCTATGTTACAATACAATGGAGCACCATACACATACACATACTAAAATACAGCAATAAATGTTCACGTCTCAGCAATACACAGTACAAATCGTAGTTATACATGAAAAACATGCGACAACAGAATCATAATATTTAAGAAAAAATAAACAAATCCAATAAAAATTGATGAAAAAATATTCACATTTAATCGACACACATACTATTATTGAGTTCTCTCTTTTCACGTATGCAGTACAAATATGAAATCGATTTTGGATATCTAGAATCGATTCTAAAGTTAATCTGAAATAAATCGAATCTCCATCGATTTAATTTACTGGACTTTAGAATAAAATTGCGATAAAAATGTTGATGTTAATAAACAATCAATGATTACTTCCAAATACTTTCAAAGAGTGCACAATTCAAATACAATTATTATAAACACGAGATTATGATAGTAGTCTTAAAACTGCAAAGCTTATACTTTTGAGGCATATTACAAGATTACTATTTATAAAAAATATAAAATATTACTAAAACATGGTATTGATACATCTAAACTCAAAGGTGTAGAATACTTTAAAAAGATACGGAAAGAAATACACTTTTCATATGTAATTTTTACTGTAATTATGTTAAAAAGACGGGTAAAAAAGTTGTTAAATTATAAAATTAAGCTACTTAAAATATCCTATTAAACTTAACAATATGCGTTCAGTTCTTCTAATTATTTATAAGCTTTATAATACGTAATAGGGCTGTAACGAATGTTGTTTACAATTGATGTAAGAAACAATAGCTTTGACTAGACTCAAACATATTCAGCCCCAAAATGTTAACACTAGTTGATAGATATAACTTTCCAAAAAATCATGTTTTTTTCCTTTACCGGGGCAAAAATTTTATTGATTTTATGCACACGAGAAATTCTTATAAACAACAATAGCCTTATAAAGAACTAAAGTTATCGTAGTTATATTTCTATATATCAATTCGTTCCAACCCTATAACATAAGTGCTTGTTCATATCGCGGGCGCGTATTCATGGTCACCAGGCGTTTTGTGACCGGTTATTAAAATCTGAATCGATGAGAGGCGCTGCTATCGCCGATGCGTCTGTCATTATAGATATAAAACCTACTTAGACAGAAAATGTTATGACAGCTACAGTACAAAGAGGATCTTATGTCAAGAGTGGCGCTAGTGAGCTGTCATAATTTAGTTTGAATTATGGCCACCGGCTCGTGAGCCTTGCTGTCTATAGATAGCACACCCATATATGTTTATACGTTTGAAATCGTCACTAAGGTGTCGCGTTGTTGCAAGTCAACGTGAACAAGCACTAAAGGTCATAGACTAAATAATGTCTAATTAACTTATATTGAGAAGTGCACAAAAGAATCATTAAAACAATACGTGTAACATGATAACAAGCTATTCAACAGATTTTGCGTAAATATTTATTTATTAGCATAAATAATACTACTTTATATAAATGCTGTACATAGACCCAATTAATATTCGCTAGCACTATATGGCAAAGGGATGTGACATAAAATTGTGACGAATTGTGACCGAAAAATTGCCAAAAGTATTAAGATTATGTGAAATATATTACGCAGTGTCACATTAAAAATATTTTAATCCGCAAATCTTAAAATTTATGAATATGATGAAATGTTAAAAGCTTTTGTTTTACATATTAGCGTATATTATTGTGTTTTGTTAAGGCACAATAATTCTGCCAATTTATCTTACTTAGGGATGGTTATAAGGCATCTTTGTATTTTATCTTGAAAAAGATAATTTTGATGCAAAAAATGGCTAAAAATAATCTCTATAAATGGATACGTCATTGTTTGCAAATGACAGCTATGTTCGTTACAACTTCATCATCCTGCTGAATTCCTTGACTCCATCTCTTATTAGTTCCAAAATGGCGTAAATCAAATTAGCACAAAATACCACAACTTATAGCCTGTCCATTTATAGAGGTCAATGGTATAAATGAGATATGGAATGTTTGTCGTACTGTCTTAATTTTAACCGTCTTAGATCATAATCTTAGTGTTAATTTCAAGCCAATTTAAAGGGTTTTGACTTAACAGTTTTCACTACAAAATTGTACGAAACGGGTAGACTTTGGCACTACTAAGACACGACATTTAGGTTAGGAAGTTTCTCGAACTAGGAACGCACCTAGGAAACTAACCTTACGACTTAAATTTTACCAAGGAAAGATAAAACCTTATAAGCTCTTCGGCAGTTTATTTAAAACTATATACCAATATAATTAATAATTGCAAATAGATTAACTTAATTAAGCTTTAAAAATTAACCTCTAAAAGTTTATAAATCGTAAATAAATTAACTAATATATATAAGCTAAATTATAAAATAACATATTTCCGAATAAAAAAAAATTATCACTTATTTGACTCAGGCTAAAATCGAAATTGATAGACTCAGTCTTCTTGCCTACGTAATTTCTACCACTTTCTACCAAAAAAATTTTTACACCATTTTTAGTATTGGAAGTTTCCGATGTCGTAATGCTACGATGTAATTTATTTTTTAAATTCCTAAATTAAACAATTTTGTCTAAACATTCTCAGCCTATAAATATATAAATAAGTACTTATAAAAGCATTTGAAAGAAAAAATTCTGACATAGAAATGTTTTTTTGGACATAAATGTAATAAAATAAATGTATAAACATATTTATTTTAATTCTAATGGAGTTAAATCAGTTTTTAAGGTTCATATGTCAGCTATATGGAAGAACAAACCCCAGAAATCGAAATAACCAGAAGAGATGCATATAGTAACTAAAATGTACAATAATATAAAAAATATTACGTGTTACTAAGTCTATACTTATACATTAATGGAGTGAAAATGTGTTTTTAGTCAAAAATGGCGAGATACCCGACCAGAATAACATGATACTATGAGTAAATAAAATTACCCACAAAAAATGTTTTGTATAATTTCATATAAGTACATGGATAGAGTAAGTAATACGTCATGTTGTGAATAATTTCACTTACATCAGTGTGTCATGTTATGGTGGGCGAGTATTATGTGTTTGATTAGATTGTATTATGTGAAAATTCTTATATAAATATTTTTTAGTTGTGGAAAATGATTACAAAAATGTATTATTGCTCCCTAAATTCATAAAGTCAAACTTCACAATCTCACAACACATTTCATTATTGATACGAATACAAGTCTTTATAAATAAAAGAAAATTCAAAATATAGATAATTAAAAAGAATTACGAAACCAAATATTAAATCAATTAAATGAAATAAAAAAAAAACTAAATCAATACTGACAACAAAAACCATTTGAATTCTTAATTTAAAAAAAAGCATAATATTTTGAAATATAGAACATTAAAATAAAAAAAAAATTAAAACTGAAATTATTTAGTCTGTACCTACAAATTAGTTCCACAGATAAAAAAACACAAAAAATTTGCAATTAATCAATATTAAAAAATTAACTTATAATATAATTATGACCATAGTCAAATGTCTTATTCATTTTACGTCGTATAATCAAAACATTCGACATAAATGAAACTGTATACATGATTACCTTGGGTTACATTAACGTGGATGGCAGGGTAATAGTTCCACATAGTTGGCAGGGAAGAGACCGAAGACACCGCGAGGTCCCAGACCTTGCCACCAGCCGGCGTCTATTTGCTCAATATGGGTTATTATATCACCAGGATCGAATGTTATTTCTGATTCGTCCGCTGAAATGTAAACGAAGTTATATTTACTACTAACTGTCGTCCGCGACGTCCTCACGAATTTAAAAAAAAGTAACGTATATGTTCTTCCATACTATGTTCTGTACCACATTTCATGAAGATCAGTTAAAATATTCCGAAGATACTTTCTAACATCCATCCATCCATCCATCTAAACATTCACATTTATAATAATAATAAGATTATAAATAGAATACTAGATTACATATGCAACTATTAAACTAGTTACCGATGAAGATTAATTTTCACCAGTAACCAATCTTCACCAGAGACTGATCTTCACCAGAGACTGATCTTTTGATTGATGTAGATATAGAATGATGAATGAGAATGAAGAAGATTATTCTTCTTAATGATGAACATTTAGTCTGACTGTCAGTACAAGCACTGACCTGCTTGGTAGTCGTAGAGCGCGCGCGCCGTGAGTCCCGGGTCGTCGTCCAGGTCCTCGTATATGTTGCCCTCCTCCTCCAGACCCTCGGGGGACACGTCTGCAATGACATCATGCACATGTTAATCAACTTTTGAAACAACCGAACACCAGGCCTGACATAAAACACAGATAAATACTGATATTTCTTGTACCCATGATATTACATTGTAGTAAAACATGTATGGAAACATAACTTTTCTGTTCAAAGAGGCGTAAGTTTAGTACTCTTCTTTTTACCACCCTTTTTTTAAAACCATGAGATTGGAAGAAGAGGTGGATTTGACAGAGAAGGGGAAATATCCTCTTTCCGTGCACCCTCTCCTCTGTCGATTAAAGGTAGACAACGCATCTATAAATACAAAGGTCTATCCATGGCTTTCCGATACCAAAATGTTATGAAACTTGTTTTGAAACATTGCACCTTGATATTTAGTAATATTTAATATAAATAATCTCACCATCCAATGTGGTAGTTCCATTTTCTTTCTTGTAATGAACATTTTCAATGACAGTATTCTGTCTACTCAGCTCTGACCTGGCTTCAGTATCCTTTGTATACGGCGACCGTTTGATTGTACTGAACTTGTTGTCACTGTCATCATCGTCATTTTCATTTGAACTGGAATATGACGCGTCGAACATGTCATTTTCTAGAATATTCTGTTTTATCATCGGCTCGCTTTGCTTTAAAACTTCGTCTTTGTATGTTTCATTGTATTCCGCGTAGTTTATTGCACTGAAAGAACTATTTTCATTATCTGTGCTCGGACTCAGATCGACTGACGGATCTATTATTGGTTCGTATTGTATTTGAGATGGTCTCTCCAGACTCATTTTTATCTTGTCTATGTTCTTTAATGGACTCGTTTTGCTTTCGCTTTCTTCGGTTTTCGGTTCTTCGAGTGTTTTTGTTGGCGATTTGATTGGCGAAGTTGGAGGTTGGGGGGACGTGTTCTGTGAGAAAGTGTTGATGCGTTGTGCGATCACTGAACTGCGTACCGGCTTCTCCGGTATCGAATTTGATCTGTGGAAGAGAATAGCCAATTCTTAGTAACCTTAAAATGTAGATTATTACACCTACCGATATCTAAGGGGGGAGAGTCGCCTAAACTTCGCAAGATAATCTAATAAATATAAAATAGATACATAAACTCCCAATAGATTTACGTAGATAACTCAAAAACTACTTTTTAGTTTTTTTAGTAAAGTATTGAACTACATCCTCAATAAGCATTACTTTATTACTAGGAGGCCATTCGATAGCGTGATGGCGATATCCATAGTGTGAGGTACCTGGTGGACATCTGTCCCTGCGCCAGGTTCTGTTGGAAGAGCGCGCGCGCGGCGGCTGTGGAGGCGCCTATGAGCCGCCGCGCCTCTCCCGCGCCCTCGCCCGCGCCCACACCGCTCGAGGGCACGCGCCTACACACATAAATATCAAGATATGACCTTTGTTTATTAACTTATTGTGTGTGTGATTTCCACTGTCGAAACACTTTGAAAACATAATATTATCACAAAGTAGTCTTTGAAAAGGCAGAAAACAATATTTACGAATTTCAGATTCGCTACAGACGTTGAAAATATGGCCGCCAACCTAAACTAATCAAACAGGTGAATCAAAAAGTTTGGTAATTTTAAAGCCGATTTAACTATTCAATTAAATCTCACAGAATATGGGTTACAGCCACATTTTTTTTTTCAGTCATATCACTCATGTTTTCTTGTCTTTTCCCATTTACCAATGTACAAATGAAAATAATAATTCTACATACTTTTCCTCTTCTGCTTTAGCTCTTCTCGCTGCTTCCAGTTCATCTCTCCTTCTTACTTCTTCTTCCGCTTTTCTTTTCTCCTGGAAAATAAGTTAGGTTTTCAAAAAAATGTCACATGTGATACTACCAATCGACAAAATAGATCCGATTTAGAAGTAGTTTGCTGTTAAATCATTTAACAGGAGTCTGTTTTTTGTACTAAAAATAAACAGTCAACAAACCTCCTCTCGTCTCTTTTTCTCGGCTTCAATTCTCTTCTTCTCCTCCTGTTCTTCTTTCAACCAAAACTGATCACGTTCTTTAGAATTGATTTCTTGAACTGGAAAATTTCATTGATAAAAAATATAGATTATAAATATTTTAATATCATATTCAAACTGATTTTTATTCGAAATTAAATTCGAAATTGACCAATAGAAAACTACATTACGTCGACTAACATATTGTACTCAATTTTATCATAGAGAGTGAAAAGGATGGCAATATATGCAAGAGATACCTCTGCGCAAGCTTCGTTTCTTACTCCTAATTTCATCAAGGATCTGTTTGGAGACAATACGCTCGTAGTTTTGTGAGACGGACCTACGAGAGTTAGTCATGTCTCGGAGTACTCCTCCGCAAACGTTCACACAACGACTGCGGCCAAGTGTTTACATTACGTCGCGAAAAATGCAAACAGCGGCGCGTCCGATGCATTGTTGTGATACATTTGGTAAACAATACTTGTATGCGTTATAAAATTCTTATTGCATACCAATTGTATATTACATGACGAGACATGTGTTATATATTATCTTTACTTATAGGAGTAGAGTCTGATAGGCTTTCGTCTGTTCTAATAATTTATTTATATTCTACTAGCTGTCGCCGTCGATTACGTTTGCACGGAATTAACTACTATGTTCTACATCTGAGGCAAATTTCATCAACATCCGTTGAGCTGTTCCGGAGATACCTTTTAAACAAACATCCATCCATCTAAACATTCGCATTTATTATATTAGTAAGATGCATATTCCTTCATGACCATCAGCTCACTATATGTCCCCACTCAGGGGCTCGGAGCCTACCCTATGTGAGGGGTGACTAGGCCAATGACGTATTTTAAATAATAAACAATGAGTAGTCATATTTTTTTATACAGTAATCTATACCTGGATTAACTTTTCTATATGCAGTACCCACTGGTCCACTTGGGGGTATTTCCTCCTGACGACTACTCTTGAAGTTGAAAGCGGATCCGGCCTTGGCCAGCTTGTCAAGGATCACCTTCTCATCAAGGTCATCCTCAGTGCGAGCGTGCATCGTCAGATGGAATCCAGTGAATAACTGGGCCACGTGCTGCACGTGGTTCGCACATGTACCCTTACGTACTGTAGGCGCGCCTTCGCCCTGTTAAAAATAACTACACTCAAAAAGCAAAATACGCGCTAATGATTGAGTTACGGAAACTATAGCTCCCTGTTATAACCATACTAGCTGTCGCCCGCGACTCCGTCTGCGTAGTATTAAAAAAAAACTTAATTAGTGGCTGTGACTATGTTCTACATCTATGCCAAATTTCATAGAGATCCATATTGCCGTTCCGGAGATATCTTCTAACAAACATCCATCCAAACATTTGTAGCTAGCTCTAGCTCTAGCTGTACTAATTCCTCATTTACTTAAGTTATTGACAGATAATTTCCTACTAATACCTATTTAAATTGTTATTATTAAATCACATTGTCTACCATAAAGTATACTATATTTTAATATATTTTAAAGATTAAAAAAATCTATTACGTATTTATGCAAATAGTAAACATGAGAAAGATAAACATAAAAGAGATAAAGGCATATCTTGGATATCTGCTCATGTAATCTTACCTGCCAATTGATAAGTACATATTTAGATATAGTTCCATCGGGTAGATCCACTTTGAGGAATGCATACTGTATCTTCCCACTATTGAAGTCATCTATCAGCTCCGTAAGCCCACCGTCACCTTTGCTTACAAACTTCAGGTCATTCGACAAACCATCGTAGCCGAATAGAGCCCTTGTAATATAAAAACACTTTTTAATTATATTAATCACACATTTAATGACTATGAGTAATATATTATTGTTACAAAATAACTCCGAAACACTGTAAAATGGTATATCAAATGTTTTCCTTAAAAATTCTTAATTTACCAACTACGGTCTATTCTTAATTTTTCTGGTTAAACTATGAAATGTAATAGACAAAAGTGCACATTGACCTACTCAACAACAATAGTGTTAGAAAAGTGTGGGTACAGGCATAAAACAAGCAGGGGGGCTTCTAACTGTATGATTCCATTGCCAAAACATATTGTCACCCCACTAACTCATAAAAAAAATTAGTTTATATAATATATATTTAGTAGTTAGTACAGCAGTGGAAAGTCATGTTAGTTCAAAATATTTTTAAATATATCTTATACATACAAATAAAATTACTGAGTATCCATAACACATAAATATTAAAGAGAATGTAATCAAAAGGAATAAAAGGACAATGGGTTGTACAAAGGTATTCTATATATAGCCTTGCTGACATTTACATAGACATGTACCCAACCTTTATCAAATGTTACATTAATACATAATAGACTAGTTAATCCATACTTATTCAATTGAATTATATACAAACATAATAAATATGAAAGCTAGGATATTTATTATTAACTACGAGGTTGCTTTAGTTAAACAAAGCACAACTAGATATAGTTGTGGAGGCTATTACAGGACATAGTAAATTTAATAAACATATGTTTAGTATAGGTACTATGAACAGCCCCTTATACAGAGTGTGCATGGCTGTCGAAGAAACAGCTACCCTGTATTCACGCACTGTCAGTTCCATAAGAAGAAAGGCATTCTCAGATATTTATAATAGAAGTGCATTTATCTCTAGATAGATATAATTACATAACAACAATTTACAATCCTAAATTTCTTTACTAAACCAAAATCTCACTAATATTATAAATACTAATGTTTAGATTGATGGATGGATGTTTGTTTGAAGGTATCTCCGGAATGGCTGCATAGATCTAACTGGAATTTGGCATAGATGTAGAATATAGTCTGAAAGAAGACATAGGGTACTAATTAAGTTTTTTTTTATTCTGCAAGGACGGAGTTGCATGTGACAGATAGTACTTTAATAAAATTTAATTTAAACTTGGTTACTGAACATTATGACATTGTCCACAAACTTTAAAGGTCAAAAAATCATAACAAGGGTCTTATTATTTATATCATACATATAGGTAATGATAAATGTGAAAGTAGTATACATAAGAGTTATACATATATACTAATGAATCATGATATCAAGTTATGAATCAATTTTCATATTTACAGTAAATAAATGCATATGTGTACAGTACATACATGATGATCTCATACATTTATTGACTCATTGAGACAATTTGTTCAATTTTCTATCTCCACATGCGGTGAGTGTGGGCAAATATTTATAAATCATATACCAGTCATATGATTTTGTTTATGTTTGAATATAAGTTAGTAAATTATCATAGTTAAAATCATACTAGCTGTCGCCATCAACCTTATCTGCGAACTTAAAAAACTTCATTACTAGCTTATGTGTTCTTCCAAACTATGTTCTACAATTAATGCGAATATCAGCAAGATCCATTCAGCCAATCTGGAGATACCTTCTTACAAACATCCATCCATCCATACATAGGTACATCCAAACATTTTCATTTATAATATTAGTAAGGTTAAATATAAAATTTTTAACAAATTTCATGGGGGGATTTTTACTTTGGCTGAAATAACCACATATTTAAATCATATTAGCTGCATAATTATTTACAACTCTTAAGAGCTACAATGTTGACTAGTTTAATATATCCACACTTATATTTGTTTAATGGGTACTTAATTATTCTTACAATCTCATACTAAACCTTTACTAAAGTTAGCCATTAATGACCATTAAACATTTTGGTGTTGAATGTTGAAACTGTTTGATTTAATGATGGTCCTTAACTGGGTAGAACTGATTTTATATGATAACATTTTTCAAAATGTTACAAATCCAGGATAGGAAATAAATGAACAAGCATTGGTGGCTGAATATAAAACAATTTCTGCATAAGTTGTAACTTAAAAATATAACTAAAAAATATTTATGGAAATAATGAGTATTCCTGCAACAAGTAAGACAGTTATCTGAGATACACAATTTAAAGAACTAAAAAAATATTATTTATGGAAGAAAAGCGTAAGTAACATATTAAATTCTTGTTATAAGTATTTTATATGTTCACTTTCTCTGCAGTTTACTTGGTTGACACATAAAAAAAATCTTCGATACGTACATGTTTTATTGCAATACCGGCTTCAGGAATGGATTCATTAATGCATTACAAAAAGACTGTTTATTTAATTTTGCCAGCATGTAGGTCGTCCTATGAATGCTTAAACTCACCAGTTGGTGTCGGTTTTTTCATCCAGTACATCCTTCCATGCCGCTACCAGGGCTTCGCGATGTTTTTCTAAATTTATGGCCATTTTACATTATTTGTACTAATTCAGCGATGGATTTTTAAATAGAATTTAAGAAGAATTAACGTACAACGCCGAACGAAGGACTGACTCACAACAATATTTCATGTAGATAAAAAAATTATGAAGTGTCATTCTGTCATCGACAATTGACAGATAAAATAAAAGCGTCACAGATAAAATCTTTGATTTTTGAAATTTTAATAATAATTCTTGCTTTAATTAAAGTAAATTTTTAACTATCCATTGAGATTTTAGTCGGTATTTTATTTAATTAAGTTATTTAATTCTTAGTCTACAAGAATTTTGTAGCCATTCACTTTAATGAAAACAAAAATGTATTTCTGAACGAAAGCCAAATATTGCATAAATTAAACTCGCAGGCGCTTTAATTAATACGAATTTTTCACAGCAAAGCTGTTAAATATTTTTGCCGATGAAATATAAATGGTTTATGCCATATAAATATTATTCTCCTATATATAAAACCTCTTTGTACTGGAAAATATATTCAATCATTGGTCAGTACAAAGTTTTACTGATAATTTCTTTTAAGTTTTAGGTGATCGCATCGCCAAAAAAAAATTAATTTTTGTTTCTGACTATTTATACTATCACCGCTATACTAGCAAAGTGAAAAACTATCTTATGAATATACTTTGCAATATTTTTCGGCGAGATTTCTATTGCGCGCGCAATGAAATTAAAAATCACAACTTTTCCTTTGAAGCACCTCAGCAATAGAACGTTAATTTTCCGTGCATTAGTCTCGACAACCGCCGCTTGGTGGGCAAACGTTACGAAATGGTAGGTCCGCACAATGTCGTTTTTTAATATCGTCGTAATATAAACAAACGTTTAGAAAATCATGTGGGTAGATGTTACCGGGCGCGAAAAGCAGAATTATATATCACAGCCCAACGGATGTTTTATACCGGGGTGAGTAGATTTTAATAAAGTTTCAGCAAACTTAATGTTTTTTTTATCTAATTAAATTAGAATACCAGTTACAATATTTGTTTGAAATTATGATTTTTTTATTGGCCACTAACTACGTAAGCGAAATATTTAATTTAAATTATAAACGCTTAAAGAAAATGATTCGTTATACGTATGACGACTCTTCGTGTTCAAGTTCTTATTCCATAAGGTTCTATTTCCAGTTAAGAAAATATTTCATTGTTTTTAAAAAACCTATGACTGATTCTGAACATTAAAGGAGTCCAAAATAGAGCAAAGGCGTAATTTTCAAAAAAAAATTAAATAATTTTTACGATGTTAACCCTGGATAGACATCGCCATGGATCTCTCATTTCAAATAAAAATACTCAAGGTCAAGTGGCTAAAAAATGTTAAAAAAACATGGAACCTAAATAGTTAACATTTAATTTGTAGAAATAAATGTAAAACGCTTATGTTCGTTGATAATTTTGGTTCAAGTATACGAGGGACAATGCCCTGTTGCTATGGATACTAACAATAAATATTCCTTTTTTTGTATTTAAAGAAAGGCTTTTGACGATTGGCAATATTACAACAAATATAACTCTTTAATAAATTACTAATATTATAAATGCGAATGAATATGAATGTATAGATGGATTGATTTATGTTTGTTAGAAGATATCTCCAGATCGTCCGCATGGTTCTTGCTTTTGGCATACATTTATTAGTCTAGACGAATATATAAGCTACAAATTAAGTGTTTTTTCTAATTCCGAGTAGAGGTCGACGGCCAGTACTTAAATAAATCGTAATCAAGGTGAAATTCAGACTGTAAATATGTACTTCTCATTCTCATACAATCGTAGCAACATAATTCGTAGAAATTGTCGTAGGTTGTAACGCGGCAATGGGACTCTGCCCACCAAAGAATATTAAAAAATGTAGTTTCGAACACCCTTGTGTTATCTGTAATATTATCCATAGACGTAGATATATCTATATATACATCAGAAGATTAATGCAAATTTGTTTATTTTTTTTAATTCACCAAGGATATACATGGCTGTGTAAGTGTTGGGCTCACAGCCTTTCTTGGTTACTGGATCAGCGCTCATCTAGATCTTAAAGATTAAAACGATATAGATTCTAGATATATCATAGATCGAATCAAGTGTCGAGTTACATATAGGCTCGTGTATCACATTAGTGAGTGTTATGTCCGTGACATTGCGTTGATCGTAACACGCTTGATTTGGTAAGTTGGCTAACAAACGATGTGTTACATTCAGTAAACGATGTATTTTACTAATACATATTGAACATAGTGTGAACGGGTCCTTACGCTTGAATCATAATTATAAACACCCGCAATGTTTCAATGAATGGTGTTCTCTTTCTAACTACATAGATTGCTTGTCACTTTTTTGTTTATTTCTAAGGTGAATATTGTAAAAATAAAAATGTATGGTACGGAAGAACGGAGCATTATGTCGCATGTATTATAATATATACTTAAAAGGATGCTCCAAAAACTGATGTATATTTTTATGTTTTTTTTGGTTTAAATAAATCATTATATTATTAGTAACAGAACGATAAGTAATCCATACAGGTTTGGCATTTTGGTTTTATATTTATGAGTAGAAACGAAGTCTCTAGCATATTAAAAGTATATTAAATATCAATATACCAGATACTTGTTGGTTAAAAAGAAGTAAAGCGTAGATTTTACTAAGATTTTTCCAGTGATTTATAAAATAATCTTTAACAGAAATATGTCCTTAATCTATGGTCATCTAAAAGGATCCGACGAGTTACTCAGAAGTATTTATAAAGAATTCGCTTTCTCAGACTAAGATATGCTTAAACTGCCAGATGTTAATCACTTAAAAAAAAGGAATTCGAATACGCGTGAGAACAGTCACTTAATAATTTCTCATAAGCGCATATCAAAAATAATGTTATGTTTCACACCAACATAAGTAGCTGAAGAATCTAAAAATACGTCCTCAAATATGTATTTAATGTAAATGTAAGCTTTGTGTCGAAATCTAATTTAAATAATGCGTTTTGAGGGTTCCGTACTTCATAGGAAAAAATCTGAACCCTTATAGCGTTTTCTCAATAACGCGTGAAGGTATCAAGCTGGAATTTATATCAAATACTCAGGTCTGCGGTCTCTCGGTGCTGTGAAAAAATAAAACTTCTAAACCAACGCAATCAAAGGATACAACAGTTTATTTATAAAATATCTCGAACTTTTCTGTTTCATAGTACCTAAAGGTCTGACGATAAGATGATAAACAAATCACCCAGTTTCTCTAATTAAAATATTACCTACAAATTAAAATGTATGTATGTTCATGCAAAAGTCCATAAATAACAAACATGTGGATAAACTTCACTTAATTGTTTATGCATTACGAAGATACAGAATTCATAGATCGAAGTGAAATCGTCTATAAATGTCGTGGTAACAATGTAATTAATATACGATTCACAGCCGACGAAGCGCGTCTTTAATAAACGCAATAACGCGTATAACAATACAATAGTAGCCATTCTTGATTTTCTATACAAAAACCAAAGACGACATCGTAGTAACCATGTGTAAATCAAATTTGAACCAGATCAATTGTTCAAGTCACATAAACTTGAATCATTGAGCTGCGGTTCAACAACGAAATTGGCAGCTATAACTATGCGAATCGATGAGCCGCGTGCTGCCTGTACCAGCAATTCGGAGTTTGCATCTCGAACCGAAATCATAACTTTATGCAGGTACAAAATGAGCTGATCTATGATTCGGATCACAGATCACACATTTGAGCCGTAAGATGATCTGCAGGTCAGACATTTAGTTACCTATGCCTACATCGTAGCAAAATGTCATCTGCACGACTATACTCACCTTTCCATTGACGTCACAGCATTTTTCGTGCATTGTATAAAAAAAATTACCTCCTAAAATATTCTAACGAGCTTAATGAGCATTGCATAGTTTCGTTCATTGTAGAAATGTAATGTTTGAACTGTTTCTTTGCATTTGATACGAGTCTCATGTTCATCTTTAGCACACTGTTACTACTCAAGCTAGCATCTTAACTTGTGTTAGTTATAAATACAATTCTTTTAAAAATCATTGCTAATCTCAGTATTGAGTTAATTAGCGTAAGTATTATTTGCGCGAACGCTTCTGACAGATTTTTGTGAATGGAATTATAAGTTCGGATTTTTATTGGATATACATATTTATTTGTGCATTTTATTACGAATATTTTATATCTTTTCTGTAGTTTCGATATTAACGTGAATTTCCATTGTTGAAATATCAGTGCAAAAACATAGAGAATAATCTCTTTTTTTATCTAACAGAATAAGCGTCATGCCAATATCATGTACATACGTATACTCTATGGAATACATATTCTTTGATTTAATTTAATCTGTAATTGCAATTCAATGTCACAAATACTTTTAGATTAAATAGATTTCCAAATAAATCACGACGTAGCACATTTTATTGGTGAATCCACAATTGACTGACACAATGGACATCGTCCTACCTCTATGATTCTTTAATCGACCAACCTCACCCAATGTGCGTCATTTCATTTGAAATTGACAAACTTATTGTATAATATCTCTCATACATCAGAATGTAAACTTTTATGTCTAAAAAACATAAAAAAAATAATTGTAATGGCAACAAAATTTTAAGTAGAATTTTACGATAAAGGTATTCTACTACTAATTGTAGTCTTTTTTCAAAGACGATATATAAAAACGACACTTTATTTTTTAAAAATTCTTGGACAGCGGTAACCCACGATATAATAAATAAATAATGGACCTTAAATTACATTTATTTCGACGCTATTCTTTCGCCTGCTATGAATACAATACCCAATAATTTCTTATACTTGAGTAATCGTAGTATCTTTGCTATTACCCCTTATCCATTTGATCTATTTCCCTTTGTAAGATACAATCGGAAGAATAGGTTTGCCGAGTCTGGGCTATTAACTTACGGAAATAGATTAGCAAGTCAGCGGAAAGTATTAAGACTGATGTGGATAGAAGCATTAAATATATAGTTGCATTGTTAAATCTTCACTGATATCTTTAGAACACCCTAATACACATAGACACAACTCATGCCTGTAACCCAAAGCCGTAGGCAAAGATCACGGATCTCCATTTGGTGTGGTCAAACGGACCTCCGCAATCCACTTTTCGCCTTTTCGGGAGACGGAACTTGACGGGTGGCTGCGTCGCCGTCTTTCTAATTTTAAATAATCAATGATTCCAAAGTGATTCTAGGTCCACGAAAAAAAACTCGGTGGGGCAGTACGATGACGGACGTACAGGTAGATCTTAAAATGTCGCGAGTACTCATTTTAACAAAGCATAGAAACAAATGAAGATTTTAGTATTATTGTATTTATAAACATACTGTATATGCATTGAAACACATTAAATGTTATTTTACTTTGATATTACAGGCATTGATTGTGTTTTCTTATTATATCTCACGTGCGTAGATTTCATATTACGGTAATCTTATAATCTGTAATTGCGTTTTGCTGAAGCGTTAAATTAAAAGGGGTCTAAAAATCATTCCAAGTTGGATGACAACGATATTAACCTGAATATTTGAAATACGTTTTCGAATATTTTTACCTATTTACCTTTAAAATGAAAGTTATATATCATAAATTGATTTATACAAACATACATATATATTACAGCTTGTTTTTTCTCAATAAATAATAACTATGATTGTCAGGTTTATCTTAAATAACTTTACGATTGAACCAATCAAAATATAACGCGATCAAGAGATTAACTAATTAACATTCTTTAGCACCCAATCGCAAGATAATATATTTTTTTTTTTTAATTCCTCCACTAATAAAACTGTCTAGTGTCAAAGACATTAAAATTTATTTTACATATCACAATTAACTACTTGATTAATTCAATACAAAAAACCTTTCGATCAAAAAAAAAATCAAAATCGGAGCACCAGGGACGGAGTTCCGCGGTAACACACATAAAAAAACTCCTTCTTTTTGAAGTTGGCTAAAAAAATAAACAAATTTAAGTACAACTTATCACTTTTACTATATTTACAAAAGTATTACTATCCAACTAATTAGGCACTGAAACATTGTCTAGGATATTTCTCCTTCAAGGACAGTCCTCATACGCGAAACAATATCCTGATGGTAAATGTAACACAAAGGGGAAGTCACAGTCACATCTTGACCAGTCGCAAATGACACCCATGGGCATAGCGACCGGCTCGTCACACGTCCGCTGTGATGGCGTTGGTCGACACTCGCTGTCTACACGGTGCATGTGCTCAGGACAAGAAGCTACACCTGGAAATGACATTAGTCCAGGTAGATCACTTCTAATAAATAGATTTAGGAGTGGATGGTGCTCAAAACCCCCGAACCATAAACATTTTTCAATCATCTGAAGTTTACTTCATCTTTCTACCATGTCTTACTTAATATCAGATGGGATCGTGGTCAAGCCCTGGCTTATTCAATAAAAAGAAACCAAATTGTACAGTTGTTTTTTTAAAATTAGAAAGTGGACACTCCCGTGTTCTTCATTATTTTATTGATTTTTAATGACATAAAAATATATAGCTATAAACTCTTTAATTTTAAAAATAATTATATAATATTTTATCACGAAAGAGAAGTGTACATAAATTTACTTACAGGTATTATTATACGTGATACACCCCGGTCTTCCTATAGTGGCGAAGTACATCGTATTAACAACTTCTAAAAAACAAAGAAAAAGGCAAAGGCACTTCATTGCGTGCTGCCACTGATATTTCGCGGGTTACAATGAATGAAGAAGTGTCCGTTCGATTCGTTTTATCGATTATATTTGTCATCATTGTCCGGTTTACGTTTTGATTATCCAAATATTCAACATTGTTACCTAAACCGCCAAAATGTTTAACAATAAACAGTCTTATTGCTTTTGTGACATTGTAATTACAAGTGCATGTAAACAGATTCAGGTAACAATTACCTCTGGACAATAACATTTTCTTTATTTGGATGGCTTTATTCACGCACCTTTAACTTACATCCTTAGAGCGCGTACGCATTGACCGGATACGGAAAACCGCGGATCGCGCAATAAATGTGTAAGAAAAATTGTTGTCATTCAATTAACTTTACTAAAATAAGAGAAATTATTTATTATTAAAGGTCAACTGTTTTCAACTACTACCAAGAAATTACAATAGATATATTCAGAAATAGCATAGAGATAAATTAAACATTCTACGTTTATCAAATTATCAGCATCAGAAAATATAGAAGATTCTTACTAATGAATGAATGAAACAACATTGCAGTTATGGTTTAGTTTCCTTGAATTAGGACGCACATTAACCCTGATTAGATCAAGCTACCATAAAAGTATACGTTTCGATGCATATAACTTTATGTAAACTTTAAAACGCTTCAAAAGGTGTGTCATTATGACACATGTCTTCACAGATGTGCACATTTGTACTAAAAAAATAACATAACTTAAATACTACATTTATCTTTTTACCCAAATTTAAAATTATAATTCACTATGAAATCGAAGAGGGAAAGAGATATTTTATCAAAGATTAGTTTTTTTTCTGCTTTAAACATCAAAATATTACTGGCCATTTGAAAAATAATGTGAAACATTTAACTTTTTTTTTCTTTACATTTCAACTATCAATTTGTACCAACTACAACTTGACCTACATACAGGTCCACGCTAAGCGGGTCAATGAAGTAAAACATTTATATAGCAAATAAAGATATAGACAAAACACTGACCTCAAGTCTAATCATTTACATAGACGAAACTTCTTTAAAAAAACAACTTAGTTTTTGTTCAAGAAATACTTTCAAAAAAATTAAGGGAATAATATAAGTATCCTTGTTTTATATAACTATGCGACTTACCTACGGATTGCGTAAACGGAAGTCTCATAATCTATTCCCACGATAACAAAAGACAAAACGTTTTAACAAATGAATAGTTTGCGTAACCGCTTCGTCAAGTGAAACGGAATTCAATCATAGATTGTAGAATAATTCAATATAATTTCTAATGCCTTCTTCCCGCCCGTTTTCATCTCTAATGTAACCACCATTCCAAGATTTAAGCTCTTCACCGCTCTAACTTCCCCTTATCCATATGATGGAGAGACTTAGGACTTGCCGATTAAGCGACACAAAACATAAATTATCGAAGTTGCAAAACCTAGTAAATGAATGTTGAACACGAACAACGATTGTTATGGAATTTATTTTTGTAATCTGTGCTAGTCGCAAATAAAGCCGGGGGAAAGTACCAGGCACCGCCGTTCCCGCCCTACAATGATTCTCCATACAGATTGGCGGGAAAACGCGAAACATTCGATAAAAGCAATTACAAAACTCAACGTCTACCTTTGTGCCAGCTACGGTGGCAATGAGTTATTTTTTAATCTGTATCTGCGGTTGTTGTACTGGCAGGCATTTTTCTTCTTCTTTTCCTCACCTCGCTAGTACTAGAAGTTGGCAAAGCAAGCCTTTACTGCCTCATTAAGAATAGTTTTATAGTTACTCAAATTTTGTTTAGAGACCAATAAACGTGTGTAGTCATTAAACATTTTATTAATCTTAAGTATAACATCAAAATAATAGTGGTCCTTTCCCCCTATTTTTTCATTAGTGCTGAGCTATGTTTCTAGGTCTTATTACAATAATATAAAACCTAACCTAGTTTTCATAAATTTAAACATTTTTAGTACGTTTGCGTGTGTGAGCTTAGTATCAGATGTTTATATTGTTTTCCAGAGCCGCATTCAACGCGTCAATCGATTTACAAATTACAAGGTCAATGACGAAGCTTTCACGGAAATTAACTTACGAAAATCTTTTCAGGCCATCATTGAAATACATGGATATTTAAGGGGTAACAATTTGATTTGGCCGTGACATATCTAGGTCAATGTTAAACATACAAGTATACTGCTATTTCATATATCCAAATTTATATTTCGACACGTATTTTTTGGCTAATCTGTAATGCCATGTTAAAAATTTTATTTTAAAGACGCCAAAAAAAGCCAATATAAAGGTTTTGTACTTAGTTTGTAAAGCTCTTTCATAGTAAAACTTAACGACCTCTGTACTCCGCGCCCTCAAAGATATGGATCATGATAAAGTCAGATAAGCTGACGCCCTTCTTACCTACTTTAGTTAATAGCTTTTACTATGAACAGAAAGATTCACAAGTTTTCCGCAACTATTAAACAATTTTATCTCATTATTTTTGTTCAATAACTCTCTAATGGACCTATAACGAAAGAGAGTATATGATGGATCTCTATTAATCTACGTATCTTAACTTCAGATATACTGGCCACTGTCCTATGCTCAAATTCCGATACGGTAAATGCTACGGAGACAACACACGACAAATACTTAGAGAAATAAGAAGCAAAGGATTATTCAAGTAAGTCCAAAATCCACTGATTCATTGAAACATTCCTTATCTCTTCAAAGATGGCGATTATAAAATTGCAAGATTGCAGAGATTGCAAGATGCGCTATAATCGTAACTTGGTAATTGTCTTTAACGTCATTGTTTTTACAGTAAGCCCTTAGAATACCGTCCTCGTGACAACTACGAGCTAAACAACATGCCGCGACGTAATTCACCCACCACTGACGTATACGATAGTGTAAAGCATCGCCAGCCGGCGTACATGACAGGATACACTGGATATGTGCCCGGAATGCATTTCAGGTATAGCAAACTAGAGCTATATCTTGCAAGTTTACTATCATACTAAATAAATCGTAGTGGCATGGATTTGAATTAAACTAATATTTAAGCTAAATTTCTTACATTGCACATCTCATATTTATACTAATAAACCTAATTACAAAAAAATGAGTAGCGCAACCACCACTCTGCTGAGTGATGGGTCATTTGTTTGTTTGTCCTAATACCTAGGTAAAAAAAGCTAGTTGTTTGCGAAATAAGTGGCGGCGCCTCTGTCGATACCATAGACAACAGAAACTAAAGATGCGTGATAAATAAAGAGGCGAGTCTTCGTGTATTTCTGACCCATTTTAAAACATATTGTTATCTCTGTTTATCCAAAGATATGTTTTAAGCAGAGATTTTGGGCTCAGAAACCCACGAAAAGTGAACATATTAATGTTTACCTTACAGATATGGTAAGTCATACGGCCGGGCGGCTGATGACTGTATGGCAGATTTCTCAGAAAACCAACGAGAATTGAGACGTAAAGCGGATTTCAATAAGAGCTATATACGTTCTAGAAGTGCTCCTAAAATGGAGACAATACACACAAGAGATGAAATACGGCGCGATTTAAATAAATTTAAAGAGATCAATAAATACAAAGGTAATAAATCATTTCTCTTAACTGTTCATAAAATTAGCTTGAACTGCATTTTAATGCATTTATTTATTAAATAACGATTAACCTACTTCAAGGTTAATCGTACTTTAATATGATTTGGTGGACTTTTCCGACGTTAGTTCGAACCCATGCATTTCGAAATCTGTACCCAAAACCATAAGGGTTAATTTAGTCATAAATCGGAATCGTCGGAACAACGGTCGGCAGTCGCTTCAGAGCGAGATAAACTTATTGTATTCGCATACGTTTATCTCCCTCTGAAGCAACTGCGTTGTTCGTACGAATACTACGTATGATAGTACGCTTAGTTTATACCCCCAACTTTTTAAATTGCAGACCACACAATATCGCCGGAATTCCCACCAATAGCTGGATATACTGGACACATTCCAAGAATAAAAGGATCAGAGGCATCATTAAGTCAGCGATATCATTGCGCTGCGAAACGCGGCTTGGAACTTATCAAAATGGAGAGAGAAAAGAGAAAGGAATTGCATGACGCGGATGTTAATATAAAAGCTATTCTACGAGGAGAAAATAAGAAGTATTCTTATTGGAATTGGGGATAGCATACGGGCAGAAGAATGTTCTTCACCAAGTGTCGATGAACATTCTTCTATAAAAAAGCAATAATGGAAGAAAAGTATCAGTATTTGAAAGTGTTAAATTTTTGAATTTAATTATAGAAATTTCAAAATTCACAATGTTGACGATAGTCAGTGCAATATAATTTTAGATTTGGACCAAAACTTAGGAGATATTTGAGAAAAGGTTTTAATCGATTAAATAATAGATTTATTACTGTTATTCTTTTGTCTTTTTAATCTGTGAAAATACGTATTGTACTGTTCTGCGCGTGTACATGTAGGTCTTTGTCCAACTACGTTTTAGTTTTACGACTTACCGTGGGTTTCTGAGACCGCATTTCCGTTTAAAACATATGTTTTGTCAAAGTTAATGACATGGATGACGATGTGTTTTATCCAGAGATTTTTGTCTCAGAAACCCACGGTTAATCTTTTTTGTGACCTGGGCAAAAAATTATATTTTCTTATTGAAACTATTACGTAGATTTTCCTATTCTTTTCTTTTGACATTTTTGTGTATTTTTTTTTCAACATTCCAAGAGTATACTACTATACTTCTAAATTGAGAATGTTTCATTTCATCCAAATGTCTTAACTTGATGCAACAGTACAAAAAATGTAAATAATCAACATATTTTTTAAGGCCAAATGTTATAAATCTTAGAAATTTTAAGCATGAAATTTTTCTTAGATTTAAAAATAAAATTACCATCTTGATGTTATAGATTTTTTTATTATCGTATAAATTGTTACAAAAATATGTTAATTCTAGATATCATTGAATAAAAATTAAATTCAATTAAGTTAATCATAATACAATGTATTAATTTTAAATGAAATGCAATAATTATTTTTATACCTAACCTTAAAACTAAAAATTGTCATGTTTTACACGACCTATTTTCTTAATAACATTTAAATAGATAAGTTCACATATCTATATTAATAAGGCACATAAATAAACTTTTTAAATAATTGCACCAATATATTTGGGAGTTTTTTAGTAATTATATGATACTGGCAACATTAAGAAATAGACGACACTAACATTAGAGAGTTTGTTATAAATAAAATTTTATTTTAAAATCAACTATCGTTTGGTATTTCAACCATTTTACCATTTCTTTCATCAATACCATCGACAATAACAGGTTTTTTATCTTCTATTTGTTGTTCTATATTCGGTTCAGTCTCACTGACAATAATTTTCTTATCCGTTGCAAGTTCCAACATCAAAGTTTCTAATTTCTGAGCTTTTCTCGTTTCATTGTGTGTAATCAAAGCACACAAATGTTCTGTAAGTAACTCTTTCTTTTCTTTTTCCTTTTGCAAATTAATTTTCGCCTGAAGAAACTCCTTTTCCACTTTTAAATATTGTTTTCTGGAAATAGAAAAAATCAACCATTAATAAAAAAAAAATAATTTAGACATTCTTCAAATTTTTGATACGTCGCTTATATTAAGTGAACACCAAATATTTTGCTAACGACTTGGCTAATATTTCAAGGTCAAGCGATGTCAAATACTTGTCTATACTTACTCTGCTTCAGAGTAACTCAAACAGGCTTGATCAATCTTCTTTCTTAACAAAGCTACATCATGCGAGAACTGTCCATCTAATACTTGTAACTCTTTTTTTATTTTCTCCAGTCGTAACACTTCCTCTTCTGTTTGTCGTGTCCTATAAACACAGAAGTGTCAGGGAAACACATTTTAAAAACAATGATGAATGTAGATTAAAAATCTGCAGTTTAAAAAAAAGAGATATCGTGAAATATCAAATAAACTCGAGAGGCAATTTTCCAGACTACAGAAGAACATGCCAAGATAATTTTCTTGTGATCTGTAATCCAAATTGGAACAAATTTTCGAAGATGTAATTTACTATGAAGGTATCCTAACCCATAACATTGGATAGGAAAAATACCACTATGTGTTCCAAAAAAAACCGTGTAACGTATACAAAATTAAAAAAATAAAATAATCTATCATTTTTTTTTCAAAGAATTAATCACTGAATTATTTACCATATTGTTTTTGTGAGTAGGTTATACCATTTGTTCATAGTAAATGTCGCACATACTTGAAACTGGACGGTTATCACAGAACTGAAATGGACTATTTCGTTCGCCAAAATTGTGTGTCGCAACGTATTTTAAGATAGGCTGATAGTGTAAAGATAAAATTGACGTTTGATACACACTATAGAACTAATGATAGGAAGTCTATTTAATAACTATTTGCAATCATGATAAATCATATGGCAATATTTTTGATTTCAGTTATTTTTTTTTTAAAAAGGGCTTTACCATCAGCTTTCAAGTACAAAAGCACATTTACAGCGGGTTTCTGAAAATCCCCAACTTAAACATTTATCTGTTATCTATACTTTGTCAAAGATAATGACAGGAATAACAATATGTTTTATACAGAGATTTTGTCTCAGAAAACTGACCAAGGAGAAGAATATCTAGGACATTTCGTATTAAGCACACACAACTTAGTAACTTGCAACTGATAATCAGGTTATGGAATAATTTCTTGAACAAATCATCACATCAAGGATATTTCAATTACCTGTCAGCTAGCGCTTTCGATAGCATCTCTTTCCTCTTCTTATTCTGTTCTTCCATCAATTTCTGCTTCAATTGTAGCTCCTGTAACTTCACTCTGTGCGCTGCCAGTTCATCCTCCGAGTAATTCTCTACACCTCTCACTATATCCGGTGTCACAATACTATCTCTTCTATCCAAACTGTTTTCAATCTCCTCTCCCGATAAACTATTTGATTCTCCATTTTCTCCTTCTATTTCATTCTTTATATCTTCAACCATTTCTTCTTTATCATCAATATTACTGAGAGTAGGTTCTGAAGGTGTTGTTGGTGTCCTTATACTTAATTTACATTTACTAAATTCTATATTGTCTATTGCATCATCTGAATCTTGTTTACGTAACTTAGGTGGTAAGTTTTTAATTATACCTTTTTTCGGTTTTGCACCAATTTTCTCGATCTTACGTACATTACTTAAATCAAAATCAGCATCTATTATACCTGTTGGAATAAAGTATTGGTGTTATTATTCATTTTTAACATAATTATTTGAAAAACTTGATAAATTAAAGTATGAGATAGGTCCCATTAACAACATAGAATTATTTTCTTACTGTACACATGGCTGTATTAATTCTACTAACTGATAAACATATGGAATTGTAAGTGGGAATGGATATGCAATAAAATATTCAATTATCTTTAATATGGCAACTTCCTGTGGAAACACATTGATAATGAGCATGTTTAGTCTCCATTTACTTATTCATTGATACTATAATGAAAAAAACTTTTATTTGAACAAATATACTTTACCTCATTATACTATCATTAAAATATTAAATAAGTAACTTAATACATAAGTATAAAAAGGATTTTAAACCTCTACTAGATTTATAAATTGCACAATGTTATTCTGAATTTCAAATTGATTTTAGAATATAACTTTTTGATTTTAAAACATAATACAAATGATGATATGACTAATTCTCACGATATGTATGATACGTGTGATGTTGAATTTTTTCCGGTGACGTAAACATATGAATTCATGCTTACATGTGCAACTAAACAATACATCCAAAGAGTATACATCTAACTGTCTCATGACAATAACTAGCCCAGTTAATAATGTACGTGGTAAGTTGTTTCTTGTTTCTCATGTAAATATGGAAAGGTAATAATATGATAATTGCATTTACCGCTACTCTTGAAAGATTCCGCTGATTTTATTCGCTTTAAATCTTCCTCACTAAAACCTGTGAATGTTGACATTTTAAAACAATCACTTTAATATTGTCTTGATCTTTTATGTCAGTCTACACAAAATAAACAAGAAACTACATTTAATAACAATTAAACATAAATAAAACATCTACAACTTGGTGCTAAAGTAATTTACAGATCGTGGGACGATTGTTTTTGTTACTTGACAGTTGACAGCGATGTGACAGTGACACGATCGAAACAAGTAAAATTGTGACACGTTTGATTGAAGAATAAGTTGCAGAGAATATTCCCTGACATTGAACATGTTACAAATCTGTTATTGTCACTTATTGTTAATTTCTATTCTACTTCCTTATTATCCTTATTCGTTGTTAACCTGCTAGATTTACGGACTCGGGCGTAGCGTAACGGAACGTAACAGAATTGTCATCCACCAGTCCCTGTCACTTAGCTGTCAGGTCAAACACACATGTCTATTCAAAAAAATTATCGATTTATTAAGTATTTCATGCTGGTTATGACTTAAAGTAACCGAGAATCAATCATTCAAAAAAACTTTTTGATAGTCAGCAAAGATGTGTACGTACTTGTTGAATAAATTATACCTTTCGCGTTCGCAACTTTATAATGCAATTTGCGTTTCTTACAGCTGAAATACTAAACAAAGTGCGTGAAGTTGATCCAAATAACAGCGACGCAGTCAAAGAAGTACTGACATCTTTTTTCCAAAACATCGTAAAACATACAGCAGTTAATTGCAATCAATGGTTGCGATCGTTGGACGATGTACTTAGCCGGTATTATAACCTTTCATTATTCTTATCTTCCTTAATTATCTGTAAATGACCTCTTTTATATAAAAAACTGGATAATTACTAAAAAAATGCAGTGTCCTATATTTATTTCTGAACCTTGTTGTGATAGAATGAACAATAATTTAACTATGTTTCTAGGTTCCCAAGATATTGTTCCACACATAAGACCACTATAGAAACACATCTCACACATTTTATAAATAGCAGTAACTACTATGATGTCATACAAGCCGCTAAATGTGCCCATGCTTTACAACAGGTAACAATATCCAGTAATATAATAATTAATAATTCTTTTATAAAAATGTTTAGGAGTGTATGTTTGTATGTTGAGTTCTCATTGTTGTGTTTACACCTGTATATAATTTTAAACATTATTTGTAAGAATTCTTTTGTTTCAAAGAACACTTTCATTTCCTAGTCAGGTATCAGATTGATTAGGGGGGACATAAATGTTGACATTTTCATAAGGCTAGTATTGTGCCGATACACTGACATAGTGTTAGATTTTCTTGCCAACAATAAGAATTATTAAATTCTACATGTTCTATCTATAATACTTAAAATTGGCACATTTATAATTATTCTCAGGTACCATGGCCTCAAAATAATAGTATCACAGCCAAATCAGCATGGCGGGATCAGATGACTCTCTTATGTGATGCAGCGCATTCCCTTATAGATGCTCTTTTCATAGACACTGTTGAACTCAACAAGAAGGGAAGTAAACAGGTTTGATCTTGAATTCTATATTGCAATAACAATCAAATGAGAATACTTATCTATCTATATATTTATAAATTCAATTGCTGTTTGTTAGTCTCGCTAAAACTAGAGAATGGCTTAACGGATTTATCTTATTGTAGTCTTGAAATGTTTGTGGAAGTCTAGGGAAGGTTTTAAAGGTGAGAAAAATTCGAATAATTGCTGGGAACTAATCAAGTTTTTTTCATTCCACGCGGACGGAGTCGAGGGCGACAGCCAATATCTTACAAAAGTTATAATGCTTTTCTTCAAATTGGTTGATTTAATCTCTTATAACAATTATTGTTTTGTTTTCATGAATCCGTTTTATAATGTAAAATAGAAACTGAAGCTGAATGATAATAACATGAGGAAAATTGACAAAAGTCTTAGGTAGACTTTTTATAAATTTTTATTTATTACTCTATGCTTTCAGAATAATACGCAGAAGGATTCTATTTCACCGCTAACAGCAGCTTTGTCCGAAATAAATTTCACAGCCTCTGCAGGGACTACAAATAGACAAACATTATTAGAAACTCGACTTAGAAATGTATTCATTTTTATACAGGCTATGATTGTGTAAGTAAATCAATAAACTAAAAACATTTTTTGTGTAATTTTTTTTATTGTCTTTAATTTTTTTATCTTCTACAAATAATTTTTTCTTAGTTTTTTATGGACTATTCATGAAACTGACTCATTTTACTTAAAGATTATTAAATTTTTTTACAGAGATATTTATCCAGTTCCAAAGCCAATCCAGCCGCAGACAATTTTAAATGTAATTGTCAGTTCCCTTAGTGCTACCAGTGGTAAGAAATCTCAAGTCACCGATGTTGGTTCACTCAAAATTGAAGCGCTTAGAACACTAGACGCATTAAATGCTTGGTAAGTATTTTCTACAATAACGCTATTATTATCCTAATCATAACTAAATCTTACTAATATTTTAAATGCGAATGTTCAGATGGATGGATGTTTGATGATATGTCCAGAACTGCTACATGGGTCTTGCTGAAATTTGGCATAGATGTAAAACATAGTCTAGAACACATAGGCTAATAATTAATTTTGTTCAATACGCGCGGACGGAGTCTGGGGAACAGCTAGTACTAAAATATTGCCAGTTTGATATAGTGATGGTCTGGCTTGTCTCGTAATTAATGGTGGCCAGCTTTAGTTATCCCTTCTTAATAATCTCTACTATAATTTTTTTTCCAGCCTTGGAGCAAATCTGATTCCCTTTTCGCCTTTAGTGTTCAGAATAGTGATGCAAACATTTAGATGGACTTCAGACAATCAAACTGATGGATCAAGGTAAATATCATTTTTTTTTGTTCTATATATTATCTATACATATTAATAAAATTGCAGTGTTTGTATGTAGTATTGAAAAAAATCATATTTCGTATTCTATCTAAATGTCTGTCCGCAAAAATGAATTTGTTCCGGGTGATCTCCGGAAGGGCTGGACTTTATAGCCTACTTTTAGCATATTTTTTTTAATTGTGCTGACGAAGTCGCCAGCAAGCATTAGTCTTACCTAAATTTTATTTACCAGTAAGAATTTATTTAAAACTCTCGTCATCCATTACCAAACAATACAACAAATACAAGTTTATATATCTATGGTGTTTGTGCAGTGGAAACTATGTTATAACATGTTTGTAGACAAGTCCGCTGTCACTCATACAACAGTCTAAGCAACTGGCTAACCACACTGCACTCACACCGACTCTCAGGCCACACTTGGGAAGACGAAATTGCTATTCATATCATTGATGATACCACTCCAATGAAGAAAACAGTGGAACTTACTGTAAGTTATTGTCTCTATAAATGTGGATGTTTGCATGGATGGATGAATGATTGTTACAAGGTGTCTCTGGAATGGCAGCATGTATCATGCTGGAATTTGTCATAGATTTAGAACATAACCTGGAAGAACACATAGACAAATTAAGTTTTTTTCGTAACTCCACGTAGACGGTGTCGCGGGCAACAGCTAGTATTATTATTTATTGTCTGAGAAATTTAATGTAACTCTTTATGTCACATAGGTCAAATACTTATTTTTAATTTTATAACATAATGTGATATATATTTAACAGATGACTGGAGGACAGCCTTTGAAAAATCTAAGCAAAAAAGCTAGAAGAAAACTCCAGAACCAAATGTTAAAAGAAAGCACAATAGCTACGCACATTCCAGGAGAGAAGAATAAAGTTGTAGAGTAAGTTCTTTTATATTAAAAATATTTTTGTTTATATTTTTTGTATGTTTAAAACTCTATCTTAATATTTTTTTTTAGATTTGAAGAAATTAAAAATGACATCTCTATGGCAGCTTTGAGTTGTGCGGAAATCTTCTTATCCGTTTGTGGAGTTTTTTTGAAGCCAACAACACATAAGGTTTGTAACTGTATTTAAAAGTATATCCTGCACAAGCTGTCGTCCGCGACTCCGTCCGCGTTTAGAAAAAACTCAAAAAGTATCCTATGTGATCTTGCAGACTATGTTCTATATGTGGGCGAAATTTCATCAAAATCCATCAAATAAACATCCAAACATTCGCATTTATAATATTAGTAAGATTTATAATAGTTTTTTTTTTGTTTTTGCAGTTATTTCAAGAACATTTAGTCCATGAATGTTTTAATACTACAACATACTCGGATGAATATGTTCTAGCATTGCTACGTACATTAGAAGCTTCCAGAAAGACTGCCCCTGCAACATTGCCTCCGCCTACACAGTACTGTCTGCAACTTTATAGCACATTGTCTAATAACCAATGTATTAAGGTACGGTCAATTTTATATATATATATATATATATATATATAGCCGGATTATCTATAAGTTTTTTTTTTTTACTGAAAGGTTAATATAATCTGTGTCTATTAGTCGTTTTAAGTCGAAGTATTCATTGCTTTTCTTATTTGATAGTTTTTAATTTTGTTATATTAAGAACTCTTTATCACGAATAATACTAGTATGCAAACGGTAACCATAGTTATTAAACCATTGTAGTAACACTTACTATCAAACTTTATTTTTAGATAGCGAGATTTTGTTCGCAAGCATTACTTGATATTAGAATGCATTTACATTGCTCACCGCCATCACTCAACTTTGCTTTAGAAGTGCCAAAAGAAAAGAATCCAGTAGAAAAATCAAAGTTTGTATCAGAAAGAAATATAAAAGCGTTGAAAAAACTCCTTGGAAAAGACAGGTATGATTTTATCTTATACTAAATGTCGCCCGCAACTCCATCCGAGCGGAATTTAAAAAAAACTTAGTAGTCTATGTGTTCTTCCAGACAATGCTAGAGCATTGTCTGCTCAATTTGCACAGATATCTATGTAATTTGGCACAGATGTAGACATCTGTGCCAAATTTCATCATGATCCGTTGAGCCTTTCCGTAGATACCTTCAAACAAACAAACATCCATCCATCTAAACACTCGCATTAGTAAGAGGAGATGTATTCGAGAAATGGTCTCAATTTGTTACATGAATTTCTCTATTAATTTAACCAATATTTACAGGATGCCTAATGAAGATAATATAGAAGTGATAACAATTCACGATGAACCAACAAAGAAGAGACCACGCTTGGATCCGGATAATATAAGTGTCAGCAGTGAATCTGTATGTTCAATTGAAATAAGTGATGATGACGATGAAGTGACAGAAGAATTAGAAATTGAAAAAAATGAAAAAACTAAAGAAGTTACAAATAATGTCGACGAAAATGTGGACATGCAAGCTGGTAATACAGAACAAGTAGATGGAACTACAATAGAAATTGAAAATCAAAGAGTTGATTTGGCTGACAAAACGGAAGTAGCTAACGATCTAAATACTAAGGTGACAAGTATATATGACGCAAAGACACAATTGGAAACTAACATATCAAACGATGATGTCGATGAAGACAATCAAACATTGTCTATGGAAGTAGCTTACGATTTACCGACCGCTGTCGATAAAGTGAGGGTTCTAGAGCAAGTGGATGATGATAACCTACCAAGTACTAATGATACAGACGATGTTCAGATAACTTGTGGGCAAATTGCCCAAACTTCACAAGAAATAGATAAAACTAAGGAAAGTGATGAAATTACGTTAGATGATAAGGAAGGAAAAGCAACAACAGAACCAGATAATACTTCTGTTGTAATAACAATTGATGACGCAGCATCAAGTAACAAAGCAGTTAATAACGAGGAAGTAATAAATGTAGATGGAACTAATAATCCAGAAGATGACATAGTAACCATTGCGGTTGAAAAGACTAATGGAAACATAAATGAAATGATAACCCAAGTTCCTGCTAACAATATTACCGATAAGTTATCCAAACCTGATGATGTTTCTGTAGATGACATGATGGCTGATTTTGTAGATGAAGTTAATGATCAAACTGAGGAAGCGTAATTTACATTTAATTCTTTATATTAATTAGTAATTATGTAAGCGTAATATGTATCTTGTGCCAATCAATGTTGTTTGCTATGATAATAAATGTATTATGTTGTACGTGCTGTATGTTGTTTATTATACATTTCTAATACAATATGGATGAAATCCTCTAAATCTAAACTCTAGTTTCATTTTATAAAACCTATAATTGACATTAAAGTGGATATAATCGACAAAGAAAAGAATTCTATTCAATAATTGGACTCTTTAATAGAAGATTTGCCGGTTTTTGAACATAAAAAGGTTTGGTTTGACTAAAACCTGGTATCTAA